ATTAGATTGTAGCATGAATAAACATCCATGAAATTGAACAAGCCATTTTTGGTACTATTATCCACTAGTCGATCTATGCTAGGAAGAAAAAAAACTATTTTTAGGATAGGCTCTATTGAGATTGGTAAAGTCCACGCTCATTTTCCATTTTTCACTATATTTTTTTACCATAACCACATTAGCAATAAATCAGGGTAGTATGCCTTATTAGTAAAGCATGCTTTTGATAATTTGTTGATATCTTCCTTTTGCCTTTTTAGGTCGAAAGTTATTTTCTTTTGCCAAACTGATTTTTCATTTGAATCAATGTGTAGTCAATGGACCATCACCTTGGAATCTATACTGGACATGTCAGATAGAGTTATGTAAATAGTTTAGCATTGTTTCTTAATAGTCAAATTAGTGTTCTTCTTAATAGTCAAATTAATGTTCTTTATGGTGAAGCTTTGCTCTAATTTGCATACATTTTTCAAATTATTCTCCTCGAATAGTATAAAGATGAGGTATTTTACTAGTTCTAATTGGTTGTCATCAATTTTTGGTCTTTGATCAATGATTTCTTTTTGTTCATTTAGGTTAAGATTATTTTTTATAAGAAAGATAGATCTCAACCTGACAATTAGTTGATTGTCAGTGAAACAATTAACAAAAAAGTAAAATTTGATCAAAATGTAAAATTTCATTTTAAATTTTTTTTAATTGGCTTAAGAGCTTGTTTTTGTTTCACAAGGATGCATGTTTGCCAACTAATTGGCTTGGCTATTATAAATCGCCAGCTTAAAAGCTTCATCTTATTTGTCATGTATGTATATATGTCGGCTTAAAAGCTCAGCTTCTATAGGTTTGCTCAAAATTTGTAAAAGTTTGTAATATATGCAATTGTAAAGCTTAAGAGTTCAAAGCGGCTTAAGAATGCACTTTTTTTCTTTTCTCTATTTCATGTTACTTCTTACCAAGGCTGTTTTATTTTGCTTCTTCTACCTCTTTGACCTTCACGATAATCACATCTGCCTTATCTAGTTCTTTGATTTTGCCTAAACTGTTAGTCTATTTTTCAATCTTACCCTTTATCTTCATCACATTACATTGTCATGACATGGACTAGTCTTCTCTAACCTTTCCAACCTTATTCAAAATTGAAAACTTAATTTTTAAATGAGGTGCTAAGCCGATTAGCCACATAATAAACTAGCTAGGTTGACATAAAATCATGTTAAAAATTGAGGGTATGTCAAACACCATAAACTCAATAACTAAGATGATGTTTCTTAACTTGATGCCCAGTGTGATGGGTAGCCTAATAATTCCCTTTACTTACACTTGTTTTTTTCCAAAATCGATCAAAATAGTGGTGAATGGCTTTAACATTTCTTTCTTTATACGTATTTTCAAAACACTGGCATAATACAGTACATCGGTTAAACTTCTGCTATCAAACAAGATCTTTCTCACCATATGATTGTATACCACAGTAGTGACCATTATTACATCATCATGAGAGAATTGAATCCCTTTCAAATCCTTCAAGCTAAAAAAAATGACTTGTCTTACCAATTTTTTTCTTTTTTAACTAAAAACCCAATGGCTATGATTATCCCTTGATCAAACTTTCTTTTAGTCGAGATAGAAATTCCATCAGTTATCACATTAATAATGCCTGTAATGGGCCAATTGTTTATAGCTTGACCTTTTTTTTCCTGTTCATTCCTCTTATTTCCCTAACCTCAATTCCTCTCTGGCTTTCCCTCTAATTCTTTTCTGGCTCTTTTTTTTTATTCCCCTTTCTATAGTCTTGCTTGCCCTAATCTTATCTTGGTCAATCTATAAATCTACCCAGCCAATCTCTTCTAATTAAACTTTTTATCTCATTTTTTAAGTTGACATAGTCCTTAGTGTTATGGCCAAAGTCCCTGTGAAATGTGTATCTTTTGTTAGGGTTTCGTTACGTATTCTGCTTCAGTGACTTTAGCCATTTGAGTTCGAGATCCCTTTATATTTGCCTCAAAATTCTCTCTTTGGAGGTATTTAGTACTATGTAGTTTCATTGTTTGCTCGAACTCCTAGCCTTAGGGTACCCTTGTTATCTCTTTTTTGGGGGAAAATTGTAGATTTTCTTACATTTTCTTCCTCTTAAGGAAAGATCATAAATTTTTTTACCTTTCTTGCTACTGAGGAAAGATATGAGCTTCTCTCACTTTAGTCATCGAAGATAGGGGATGAGCCTCTTTCACCTTGATTTTTCATTATAATTTAAGCATTTATATATTTTTTCACCACTAAGTAGCATGTCGACTAAGGCTTTTGATTGTTCAAAGAAAAGTGTAAGCTTCAAGTGGTACTCTATCACTGAACCTGTTGGTTATGGCAGTAATTACAACGATTTATTCTAAGTTTTTTATCTTGAGGGCTTTTGCATTAAAACAAGTTACATAGTCTTTAGCGTCTTATTTCTACCTTGGTAGATGGATATTAGATTGAGTGTTATTTTCTTGGTTCTCTTGTTACTGATAAAACGAGACAAGAAAGCATGACTGAGCTTCTTAAACGTGGTAATAGACTTCGGTTTCAAACCATCATACCAATACCGAACTATCCCTTTGAGTGTCATTACCAAACCTTTACATATAAGTGCCTCACCTACTCCCTGCATCATCATGTTAGTTTTATAAAATTTCAAATGATCAAAAGGGTCAATTGTACCATCATAACTTTTCAAGGTCAGTATCTTAAATCCTTTGGAGCATGGTCTGATCTATTTATTCAATGAAAAGCAACATCTCTAGGAACCTTAATTCGTCCTCAAATGCAATGGCTTTTCCTTTAATTATTTTTCCATGGCTTGTATCCTGTCTTTCAGGTCTTTGTTAAGTTCAATGTCCTTATAGCTCAGTTGTGTCTCTATTGGTTATCTACCGAGGGTAACTATGTTCAGTACTTTAAAAGTTTAAAGTGGGGTTATGGTTTAGAGCATTTGCTTGAGGGCTTGTATTTGTTTATTTAGGACTAAAAATTGTTCCATTGTTAGGATTGCTAGAGGTGCAGGTAAGTTTGTAGGTTGGCTAGTATGGGTTTTTATGCCAACTAGGATAATTGGCCCTCTTTCCTCCAAAACTCTACTTTTGGGTGGCATATTATTTATCTTGGCCAAAGAATGTATGATAGCCCATGCTTGGCTCACCAAAATGTTTGTGTTGAGTTTCGATTTAGGGGGTAAAACCCTGAAATCACAATAGAGAGAAAGAAAACAGCTAAAGGTAAAAGTAGAGAGTATTCCTTGTATTTACACTCTGACGCTCAAGTTATAAGTCAACTATAGAATGTTGGAAGGAAAGTAAAATAGAGAAAAAGTGGAAGAAGACAAGATAATTAGATAGTATCTAAATGACTCTATTTATAGATGAAAAGCGAGGAATTTGTGAAAGCAAATTAATGAAGTGATCAAACTAATGTGGCACTGTATATGTCAGATTAATCCAAAAGTCAAAAATAATTTTGACTAACAATCCTTAATGAGGGAAAAAACCATTATGTTTTTTGAATCCAAAAATATCCCTAATATATGTATTTTGAAAATGAAGCATTGAACGAGACTTAGGTTAATTTTTTTAAAAGTAAAGTTCTTCAAATTCTTTAGTGAAAACAATCAAACGAAACTTAATTCAAAAATCATAACCTATATATTGAAAGATCTTTTTATGGAAATTAAGTGTATAAATTTTAAAATAATGTTGTAATATTTTTTTTAGATATATATTTTTGCTAAAAATTATGACATACTTTATTTATTCAGTAAGTATTGATTAAATTTTTATTATAAATAATATTTTTAATAATTTTTTATATATTATTAATCTTCTCATGAAAATATTTCAATTTATAAATTTTAATTTTCAACAAAAATATTTATATAATTATTTTTATTAAAAAAACTTTAAAAACTTCACTTAAAAAATTTACCTAAGTCTTACCCAATTTTAAACTTTTAGTTGCCCACATATATACTAAGGTTATTATTAGATAATTTGTTCAATGGAAACCATGTATGGAACTAAAAATAAACTATTTACCATATCTGCATATAAAGAGCCTACTTAAATTATTTTATTATAATTAATTAACTATAATTTAAAATTATAGAAAGTCTATCAAAATATTATGTAGAGACAATACTTTTAAGTAGTAGACTCTTCTATAATTTTTAATTATAATTGACCAATTATAAAATTATAATAAATAAATTATAAATAAAATGCTTCCTACATCTTAAAAATAAACTTTTAAAACGAAGATTTTTTTTCCCCGTATCTACTTTTGTACAATGTCCCATTCTGCAAGTCATAACGTTAATTCATGATTCAAAGTTAGAGATAAAGGACACTTATCAAGAGGTAAAGAACTCGTACTATACACTAATTTAAGGTCAAATATCTCAAGTCCATCTAACAATTAATGAAGAGAAAAAAGTAATTGGATTATTAAATGTTTAGTCATATCCCATGATGATAAGGTTGAAATTGAACTCAAATTTCGAACTTGATTTAAATTTATAGTGATTCATACTCATATCAAACCAAGTGTACAAACTAAGTTTATGTTATTCAAACAATGTTTGATCTATATGAGAACTTGAATAAACTATTTATTTAAGCAAAGTTGAGCAAACATTTAATGAAATATTATCGCAATTTCCAAACTTTTAATTACAACTTATTTTTTTATTAATTCTCTTTTTTTTCCCCTCTTTCTTGCAATCAAAAAAATTCATATCTCCCCAGGATTCAGCTCATTTTCAGCCTAGAAACAAGTAAAAAAAATAAGGAAGAGGATCTTAATCTGCCCCAACCCATGGAAGCTCATTTTATTACTAACCAAAGTATAAAAAGCTACCAACAAACTGTTAGCTCTGTGGCAATGGAGTCAGTTCATCTCCAAAGTTAAGGGTATTGAATTCGAACTTCGGTTGTAGACTGAAACACCAAAGAAAAAGTATAAAAGCTCATTTTATTACTAGCCTAAGTATAATGCTCGTATGCCATCAATATCATCTTGGCCTAGATTCCTTTTGATGGTTCCTGGCATGTAATATGCAAACATAATCGCCCTTGGATCCTGACTATGTCCAAGGCCTAGTATGTGTCCTATTTCATGAACAGCTACGGATTCCAAGTCGATTTGGTTTATTGTAGTAAGATTAGTAGTACTCCAATTCTCGTCTGCATCATAATGAAGCCTCCCATCTTGTGGAGCAAAAGCATGAGCCAGAACGTTTCCAGGGCCATCAAATGGGTAGCCGTCCCAATGAAAAAGTCGGTGAAATCCAATTACGATATCGGCTTGGGTGAATAGAGGAGCCTCCTGGAATGTAAATCCGGAAACAGCTGCCCATCTCTGGAATGCCCTGGCAATGATAGGCCTCAATTGTTGAACACTAATCACTTGTGCACTAGAACGGAACGTGTAGGTGAGTTGACGAGTGTTCCATCTAGGCATCCCATTGAAAAAAGTATAGTTTGCAACCATGTCAAACTCGACAAGATCGTTTGGTTTATTGAAAACATCTTGGACGCCACATCTTGGGATCAACATATTTTCGATGGTATCAGAGTCGAGTTTCCCTGTTACCTCGAGACGGTATTGTTTTTGGTAAATTTTCAGGGCAGATTCTAACAAATCATCAAAATCATCGGTGAGATTGATGCCACTGGGGTAATAGCCAAAGGCGTTGAAGTATTGCTTGACCTGATTGAGCCCTTTGAATGCATGACCTATTTGAGCTCCCTGTAAAAAATGAAGGGATTTGGAAAATTGGGATTCAGACTTGACCACTGAAACTTGAACTAGGAGGGGGAGAAGAAAGAAAGCATATGAAATTAGATGATGAGAAAGCTTAGGGGCCATTGCTTTTGATAGAATGAATAGAAGAAGAATCTATTATTTATACTCAAATTTGGTGCTTGCCTTTATTAAATGTTTGGGGAACGTTCATAACTTTATTTTACACAAATTGAGTATAGAATTGATTAAGTTAGGTTTGCCTTCAATTTTACTTTTTCATGATGAAAGACAATCAAAAGAAAATTTAATGGCCAGTAGGCCTCTAGATGTAAGTTTGGATAATTTTTCACTGAAGTGGACACAAATTATTTATCTTATTTAATAAAAAAAATCGTAATCACAGATAGAGAAATGAAGCATGTGTTGAAATTCGAATCCAAACATATGAACCATGAGTTTTATATATTTTATTCACATATCAAAGTAGTACTATTTTTTTAAATTCATGTATTTTTCTAAATATGAATTTAAAAAATTAGTTCAAAGGCTTAGGGAAATACAATGATTTTTTTATTTTTTGGCCTAGCGGCTAAAATACTAAAAAAAAAAAAAATTGCTCTTTTCTATATTTCTTGAATAAGTTTATATTTATTTATTGTACTCAATTATATTCTTAAAATATTATTTTTGTTTAATTAAATCTTCAAATCACTTATTCTATCTAATTAAACCCTAACCCATAAAGTACTATTTTTTAAAATTAAACATTTACTTGTGCACGGATTTTAGTGATTTTTATGTAAAATAAGGACTTAATTAAATAAAATGATATTTCAAAGACTTAATTGGATACAGTAGAAGTTTAATAATTTGTTTGAGAAATTTACAAAAGTATGGGGATCTTCTTAGTATTTTAGCAATTAAAGTATTGGTTTTTCTTGAATTTTGGTAAAAAAAAAAAAAGTGTTAAATGATAATGATGTCTAAAATTTCAATTTAACTGATCTCTTGAAAAGTGTTAAATTCTAGACACCTATTAACCAAACCCTATGTTTTAACATGTTTGATATTGTGTACAAGCTGAGCTATTTGTGGAGGTATATTTATGTCTAAGATAAGGTATATTATTTTAATTTTTTTTTATAATTATCATTAAAAAAAATTATTATTAATAACTAATTACTTGTCTCAACACACATTTCCTCTATAATTATCATTAATTAGGTTTATGACTAAACCTCCAATGGAATTGGTTGAACAATGAACTCTTGAACAACTCTAGAATCCCTTTAGTTTGGTTTTCTCTTGTGCTAGTTGCAAGATGTAATAATTTTGGTTTTAATATGTTAAAAATAAAAGGGAAAAACAAAAATGTAATAATTTTTGTGATAACTTGACAATTTTTTACCATGTTGGTATTATTTTATTTTTTTTAAAATTATACGATCGTCTGTATACTTTGATCAAATGATAAAATTAATTTTTTTTATTTTAATGTGATAAAGATGAAGAAATAAAGTTGATAACCTAAGATTAAAGTACCAAATGAGTTCGGAAATTAATATAGAAAACAGTAGATTAACTTAATTAAGTATAACAAAACAGGAAAATACAAAGACTTCCTTATTTCTTCCCTAACTTGTTTTGTCGAACAAGACTTATTCTCATGGCCAATTCTTTTCTATATGACTTGAAACCAAAGTGAAAAACGATGAAAACTTTTGATGCATTAATATTGATCAATATCAATGCATAGGTTTTCACTTTTTTAACTCTTCATCTGTTATATAGAGCTCTGATTCCTTGAATATCATCCCTATCCAGACCCTTGGATCTTCCATTCGAGATGGATGGGTACATAATGGCATTCTCAACTGAGCTGTGCCCCAAACCAAGAAGGTGTCCGATTTCATGCAATGCAACAGTCTCCAAGTGAAAGGCACCGGGGCTGACACTTGCGGACCAGGGTTCATCTGCATCATAGTGGAATCTCCCATTAGTTGGTGCAAAAGCATGAGCTATGGTTCCACCAGGACCGTCAAAAGGGTTCCCATCTCTATGATCACGACGTTCGAAACTAATAGTGAGATCGGCATCTCTGTAGTTCTCAATTCTTGAAAACCTGAAGTGTGTATTTGCAGCCCATGTTTGGAAAGCTCTTGCAACGGGGCTCATGGCATCACCACGAGTCCCTGGAAGAAACGCATAGGTGAGATGAGACTGGGAAGCCGGCCATCTGGGGCTTCGAGGGAAGAAGGAAAAATGGGAGACTTGATGGATAGATTTAGAGCCTCCAGGGTGGTGCTTTTTCTTGCCAGAACGCATCCAGGATGTACCATTGACGATATCTGGCACCCCACATCGAGGCATCATCATCTTTGACACTGTTTGGGCATCCAAAGTTCCAGTGGAATTCAAATGGAAATTGAGCTGGTAAATTTTCATGGCAGACTCCAAGAGCTCATCAAAATCATCATCATGGGCATGAGTTTTGTTCTTTCTATAGCTCAAATAACCGAGTTTTTCCAGATACTTCTTGAGCTTATATATGTCTCTAACCTTGTCACCCTTGTGACATCCTTGGAGATGTTGGAGAAACTCAAATGGGGATGTCTTTTTGTCTTTTGAGTCTGCTAAAACAGCCTGAAACAGCAGGGGAAGGACAAGGAGGAGAGTGCAGAATGAGAAGAATGAAATTGCATTGTATGCCATGATTAAGCTATAAGAAAAAGCTCTCTTTGGTGGATGTGGCATTTGCTCATATTTTGTTGCCTATTTATAGCCATCTTATGCAACAGAAACCAAAAGAAAAACGTCTCAAAGATTATGAACAGAAGTCATTAGCCAGTCTTTGTTGGAAATATGACTTTACAAGGTCTTCTAAGTGGCAGAAAAAGCCACCTAATTCCTTGGAAGAATGCTTTCCACATGGAAGTCAGTCAAAACGTTTCTCTTTCGAGAAGGAAGATGCTTTCCACATGGAAGCCCCGGCCTGCAAGTCAAGTTACCCTTGGTGCAATGCATTTTACTTGAGAAATTCATTGGTTTGCAGATTTTAGAATTGAATTTTTATTTGATTTTCACTTTAAATATTCAGAAAATTGTTTTCACAATGACACATTGTCATTTCCCCATTTTCCAGCTAAATACTAGATGAAATGCTCATTCACTTGCTGCAGGCATTAAAATTTCAGAAAGAAAAAGTTTGCAGGCAAGCAAAGCTTCAAAAATGTCATGTAGGATATCTACAGGTTGCCCACTGCCGGCTTACCGCAATTGATTTCCCTACCTGGAAATTGAAATTTATGTCCGATGGACATAATATTTCATTCCAATATTTGTGATTGTTCATGTAAGACATGATTATTTATTAAAAGGTGTCTTAAGCTCCAATTGAGACCTATAATACTTTCTTTAACACTCATTTCAACACACTTACATTGAAACTCTTCTACAATCTAACATTCTCTATGTGATTGTCACTTTGAATATTCGCATTGTCTTGCCCTATTATTGATTTCACGGTCTAGTCTAGATGAATGCTCATTTTGTGTTCCTTTGTAGGCATTAAAATTTGAGAAACAACAATTTTGCAGGCAAGAAACCGTCAAAATTGTCATATACCATATGGACAAAAGCAAGAAGAAAACTCAAGGGATTGACATAAACTACAGTTATTAAGTTACTCTGTCAAAGAAAGAGATATCTCCCTGACAAAATAACTAGCCTTTAAACCGGGAACTTACGTCCAACGGGTCTGGGGTTAAAATCTCAGTACCTACAACCCCTTCTCCCTTATCCCCAGGCTGAGGCTTCTTTTGTACAGAAAAATAAATAGCTAGTCTTTATTTTAATCTGTCAAGGACTGCTAATCACCAAGATGAATAAAAGAGAGGGCTCTCTGCTCACTTTACAAACAAAGTAAACAGCTAAACATAAGACCACTTACATTATCATTTCTGACAGGAAAACAAACAGGGACTACTTGTTGATTTGATCTTCGAAAATAAGTTGAAACCACACTAGCAGTTATGTTTATGTAATATGATCAGTTTCTTCTGGTTTCTATCTTTGTACCTTGGATTTTTGTTGAATAAAAAATGTCTCTTTTACACAGTGAGTACAGCATCTAAATACATCACTTTCCTACAATACAATTTTTCTTGAACACATTTTATTTACCTTGATCACAATCCTACATGCCTCACATTCACTAGTGCAAGGTTATGCTATCAGCTAGAATATGAAGCATGAATGCCATCAATATCATCCTGTATCAGCTCCCTTCTAAGAGTTCTTGGTGGAAGTCCTTGATGCATAATGGCATTTGGATACTGGCTATATGCAAGCCAAAGAAGGTGTCCAATTTCATGAACAGCTACTGATTCCAGGTCCACCTGATACGATCCAGGATTATTAGTAGTACTCCAATTCTCATCTGCATCAATATGGAATCTTCTCTCTTTTGGCAGAAAAGCATGAGCCAAAATGTTGCGTGGACCATTGAAAGGTAGACCATCCCCATGATCATAGCTGTAAAATCCGATTACGATGTCAGCTCGAGTGCCTTGTGGTGCCTCCTGGAATTGGAATGGGGAAACAGCCGCCCATCTTTTGAATGCACTTTTGCAAACAGACCTTAGTTCCTGCAAATCAATGACTTGGACGCTGGAACGAAAAGTATAGGTGACTTTATATGTACTCCATCTAGGCTTTCCATTGAAAAAATTATAAACAGAAATCAAGTGGAACTTCATAGTCTTATGGCTACTTTTAGTTTCACCAATGCCTGTACTGATGATATCAGGGACACCACATATAGGAATCTTCGTTGCTTTAATGGTATCAGTGTCAATCTTCCCTGTTTTCTTGATATGATAGTTTTTCTGGTATGTTTTTAGAGCAGACTCCAATTGTTCATCAGATTCAGCAGTCAGATTGATTTCTTCTTCCATCTGATAGTATCCAAAGGCATTGAGATATTGCTTGACCTGATGAAGCTCTTTCAGGGTCTACCCTTTGCTGGATCCCTCCAAATTTTGGAGAAGATTGGAAAATTGAAACTCAGCTGGTTTTAGAGTTCTACACCTAACCTCTACAAGAAACAGTACAAGGAAGAGGACACAGAAAACTCCTAAAGATGAGAGAATTTAGGTGTCATATGCAAGTTTTACTTTTGCATTGGAGAATTTTCTTTCTATTGGCTATTAATTTATACACATCAGGCAACTTAATCAATCACGTCTGATTTTTCCTTTTGGCCTGAATTTGTTGAAATTGTTTCCTGCAAAAAGATTTTAGAGCCATGGAACCTTATTTGGCTTTATTTTTTAGTAATGGGGCCATTTGAGTTGACATGTTCATCTTCAAATATGATTCTAAGGCCATGAAATTGTTTCCTTTCTCTATATCCATCATGATCAAGTTGCCTAATTATCTACGCCGAAGAAAACTCTGTATGAAAACTTTATTATATCATTATACCAAAAAAAAAAAAAGATTACTAGATGCCTTGCAAAGAAATATCTCTGTCAGCCTCAAAATACAGTTTATAAATTGATGATGTTGATTTGATTAGCCCTCTCAAAAATCACATGTCAATCAGTTATGAAATGATCATCCATTTCCTACATGAACTAATTACTTCTATAATTGTTTATTATCTTCTACTGCTTGTTGGCTTGACAACATTATATACACCTTGATTAATCATGTTGGGCTGTCTGCTTTTGTTGTTTTTTTTCTTGAAACATTTATTTTAAGTTCACCCAAGCTTGATTGATAAGATCAGAAATTCAAACTAACCCTTAGAGTTCCAATTTGCAAATAAAATAACCAGGATAGAGAACTGCAGCAGAAGCAAACTAGCAAGTAAAATCGTACTAGTAATTATTACGACCGAACCGGAAAATACAAAGACTTTTCTCCTCATCTCTATTTTATTTTTTGTTCGAGAAGACTTATTCTAGTGGACTAAACTTAATCTCTATATGATCTGAAAACCAAATAAATGTTGGCATACCAAAAATGCAACAATGCTGTTCTACATTGATTTACGGATTTCACTTGCTCTATAGCTTCCTCAATAGTTATATAAAGCCTTGATTCCTTGAATATCATCCCCATGCAAACCCTTGCTTTCTCCTGGCATGAAGGTGGGATACATGATGGCCCCCTCAATGGAGCTGTGCTCCAAACCAAGGAGGTGTCCAATTTCATGCAATGCCAGAGTTTCCAAGTGATATGCCCCAGGGGTTGCAATTACAGACCATTGTTCATCTGCGTCATAGTGGAATCTCCCATCAGTTGGTGCATAAGCATGAGCTAAGGTTCCATCAGGGCCATCAAAAGGGAATCCATCTCCATGATCACCCCTTTCAAAGCTAACTTTGATATCAGCATTGACATAGTCCTCAGTCCTTGAAAAGCTAAAGTGTGTATTTGCAGCCCATGTTTGGAAAGCTTTAGCGACAGGGCTAATGGCATCAGCTCGGGTCCCTGGAAGGAATGCGTAGGTGAGATGGGACTGGGAAGCTGGCCATCTGGGTTCTCCTGGAAAAAATGAATAGTGAGAGACTGTATGGACATATTTAGAGCCTGAATGGTGGTGCCTTTTCTTTCCAGAACGCATCCTAGAAGTACCATTGATGATATCTGCTACCGCACATCGCGGGGTCATCATCTTTGACACTGTTTGCGCATCCAAAGTCCCAGTTGCCTTCAAATGATAATTGAGTTGGTAAGTTTTGATTGCAGACTCCAAGAAATCATCGAAATCATCATCATTGGCATGAGTAGTCTTGTTCTTATAGCTCAAGTAACCAAAATTTTCCAGATACTTTTTGAGTTTATGTATGTCTTTAACCTTTTCTCCCTTGTGACATCCTTGCAGGTGCTGGAGAAACTCAAATGGGGATGGCTTTTTGTCTTTCAAGTCTGCTAAACCAACCTGAAACAACAAGGGAAGGAGAAGGAGGAGGGTAAATGAGAAGAATGGAAAAGCTTTTGATCCCATGATTTTGTTTAGCTATAGAGAAATCTTTCTAGCTGTTGTGAAATGAGCTCATATTTTTTGCCTATTTATAGCCATAAATAGCTTGAATAGTCTGAGCAGAAAATCAGAGATCTTGAGTCAGTCTTTGTTTGTAATAGGATTTTACGAGGTCATGCAAATGAAGACAACATTTAATATGTGAAGAAAAGACTCTCAATATTTACTTTCTCCCCCCGGAAAGAGTAAACGCTTCATATAAAATTCATCAGCTGACGAATTCTCAACCTATAGAACTGGTGTACAGGAGTCTAATGACATTTCAAAGGAAGAAACCATCCATGGAAGACCCCGGAGTTGAAATTAGTTTAAAAAATTCATTAAAAAAAAGAAGGAAGAAGTTTCCATCTCCTCAACCATAGGCACATACATAACACATTGGTAATGACGAAAATTACAAGGAAAAAACAGACATTTGGTTCCCAAAGACTTTGAACGAAACATAATTTTGACTTGATTGTTAGATTACAAGTTTAGAATTGTTTATTTCAAATGTGAACAAAAAGTGATGCAAGGAAAGTCAAGTTTCATTGCAGTCTGTCCCCTTTTGGCATCCATTCTAAGGTAAAAGATTTATTTGAAGTTTTTTAGACGAAGTTCTTAAAATAAAAATTAAAATCAAAAATCAAAATCAATAAATTAAAATGTTTTATTACATAAATCAAATGTATAAAATTTGAAAAAAATTTAATAAATTTTGATAAATATTTTTAGATAGATATTTTTAGTAAAAATGTTAACGAAATTTTTACTGTTGAATAAGTATTGATTAAATTTAAAAATATTTTTATATATTATTAAATTTCACATTGAATTTTATCAATTAATAAAGCTTTTATTAAATTATTTTTTAAAAAAAACTTAATAAATTTCACTTAAAAATTTGCATATAAGTTCTGCCTCCCTTCAATAGTGAAAAGGGTATCGGAAACTGCAACTTCAGAGTTTTAGAGTACTCCCAGGGTTTTCGTATTTGGACATTGCCAAAATTTTACCTTAAGCTTTATTTCCAGGAAATATAAAAATTAAAACTTTGATGGTGATCACCCATTGCAGGAGGCTAAATTTTTGGAGTATACGTTGGGCATTTCATTGTAAAAATTCGTCTGGTTTTTATGGTGTTTCATTTCTATATAATATCCAATATCCATGCTCAAGCTAAAACAAATTAACCCTGAGTTTTTCACACACTTGAAGGGAGATCTTTTCTTCAAAAACATGCAGGCAGACTTAAAAAAAAAAATAGAGTAATCAGCTTGTTTTCATCATGAACGAAAGAATTTAAACATCGTCGAGGAAAATAAGAAAACAAAACAACAAATTCTGTGTTGTTCTTGGATCAGTAACTTTGTTTTTTTTGCCATTTATTTCTTCGCTTTGAAATTGCCTGACATGTTATAATAGGTTTTTCACTCTTGGATTAATAACCTGATAGTGGATTCAAACATGCTGAATAATTGATTTACCGACATAAACAAATGCGAAAATTTGACACCCTCTTTCCAGAAAAAAAAAAAAAAAAAAAAAAGGAGATAAGGACTGTTGAGAAAAACATTTAGCAAGATCCCAGGAAATTACGGGTCGGAAGAAGTGGATTGGAGGATTAATTAGAGGTTATAACAGCTTTTGCATGTCTCTGATTAGATTTGAGGGCTCATCTAACTATTCCAATTCCATACATTGGCAATCTAGAAAAACAATAGTACAAGCCAAAGTTGTCAAATACATCATCAACATTACAGGAAAACCACTTCAAGAACCATTCCAACTCCATCAAAATTTTGGATTAGATACATTAAATAAAACAATAGAATCATTTTACACAAGGTGATGCAGCCTTGAGTACAGCCTGCTAACTATGTATTCTGAAATTTACACTCCATTGGTATTTGGTATAATAACTACTTCCATTGGTTTCTTTCCTTCTCAAAAGAACTTTAAATTGCACATACTATAATTGCATGTTTTACGACAAACAACCACAACACTTTTTGCATAACCATCAAAATACCAGTAAAGAAAGGGAGGCTTTCCAAGTTCAACATCTTAGGAAAAACAGAATAATATAAAAATGCCTGTTGTAGTGTCAAATATGCACGATGGAAAGAATGCAACTTCAAGAGAATCATGATAGCCAGGAGCATGCAGAACCCTTAGTGCCAATACACATCCAAGATGCAAGAGGTCAAAACAGGTTAGGCCATAAACATAAAACTTCCGAAACAAAAAGAGCATCATTTCAAACCGTAACATCCAATTTTATGATCCCAAGATCTTCATAAACCAAGGAGGCATTCCTAACGTCTAACTCTTCTATCCTTTCATTATGATTGGATACAGCTTGACATTGAGATTAAGCATTCAAAGCCCAGCAGATTCAAAGGCTGGCAGAATAAGTGGTCTTGAACTCTAATCTTCCACTTAATGAAGGCTCACAACAAATGACTCATATATAGAAATGGTGTTATGTGCATCCTAAGTACATGATAGCCCATCGCACACCACTGGATGCTAACCACAGCCAAGGTGTACACATCTTGACAGCTTTTAGGTAATTATGAGCTCTTGATTAATTCAACAAGATCAGATATCTCGCTGGACTTCCACTGACCAGCATACCCTTGTAATTTGTATCTAGACAGGGCACGTTTAAGAATTTAAATATATGCAGGTGACAACCATGCAGAAACAGAGCTCAAAAGAGTTAAAAGATTCCAAAAAAGCTAAATGATGATGATAATTTTACCATCCTATTGTTTAAAGTAAAGTCCTTCATTTTATCATGAAATGCCAAGCTCCCGTAACAGTTGCCCAGAAAATTTTAGGACGTCGTAATGGAAGAAATTGTAATTATGTTGACATAACAAAAATCCAAAATGTGGTCAAATCATGATATAAAGAACTTTTTTTTTTTTTTTTCCAGTAATTAGCCTGACAATTTGATATAAGACACCTCCTAATTTCAATGAAGGTAATACAGATGCATCGAATCATGAAAATATAAAAGCTAAGTTCAAATCCAGAAAAAATCGAATGATGAAATGTGCATATGATACTTACAACTATTCTAGCGACTGGATATTAGCAAATGTTCAACTATCCTGCTTATATTGTTAGGCAAAAGAATTCCAGTTATGTCAAAATACTTTGATACAGGCAACCACTAAGTGCTATTTTTAAACTAGAAAACTACAATAACTAATAAGAAACAGATAGAACAAGAAAAAGAACTAATATCTCATTGAACAAAATTTCAACACACAAACTGATCCCAATTTGTTTATGCAAAGTGAATCATCGCTTCCTCAATAATAACATTACAAAAGAATAAACTATAATGCTTTTAGCCAGCGACTAAAAATGAAACCACTAAACATTTTACCTCAAGCATGTGAACCATGACCACTGACACTCAATTCCACAACAGTTGCCTTTTCTTTCCCCCTATCATCTTCTTCTTCGTTAATCCCATCATCGAGATCATCATCAGAATTCAAAGTAAAATTCGCCACATTATTATCCATATTCTGCATTTCTTCCCCTAGTGGCCTATACGGCAAACCATCCCCCGAAACACCAACACCATTTCTTTTACCCATAATTGACAACATCCCAACAACCAAAACCACAAGTAAAGCAAGATGGCAATTAAATTGCAACGTCGCAATGGCTCTCCCTCTATGATACTCAGGGTGACCTTTGCACTTAATAGTATAATTCCCTCTACTTTTTTCATGTAAACTACATCCATGAACAATCAAATTAGTGTAAAATGATAATCCCATTTGCACAAACCATGTTCCTTGTAAAATCAACCCAATGCCTCGTACCAATTTCGAGTAAACCGACCTTTTTGACCTCAACTCTAGCATTGTAGAAACCACACAAATTGCTATCGGAACACATAAAAGATCAAAATATCTATTCTCAATTCCACTTTTATCTTTCCTTTGCAAGTAATATAACAAAAACTCTTCAAAAAAAGCTAAAAGCAGAACTAATTCAAGGATAGAATCAGGCCAAAAACATAAGCTTTTCTTATTATTTAAAAGACCCAAAGCAGAGTAAAGCAATAAAAGCAGAGCAATTGAGAGTACTTGTAATTGGAGCACCAACCCCACCCGATCCTTTGAACTGAAAGCATCAAAGATTGAAACCAGAGAATTTAAGAAGATCAACATGGAGAAGACTGATACAAAGATAAAAGATGATGAACAGAGAAATGAGTTTTCTTTAGTTTTTGAAATAGAGGCAGACTTGATCTGGGTTGAAGGTGAAGAAGATGGAGTTGGATTCGGGTTTCGGGTCGGGTCTAAGGAATTGATGGATTCCCAGAATCCGATCACGATGAAACCAACGCCGGTAACGGCGTAGGTGAAAATTTCCATATTTGTTGTTGTACAAAGTTGCAAACCTTCTTTTTTTGGCCTTTTTTCTTTGAATTTGTGCAAGCTTTGCTGCTTTTTCGCTTTCTGTCTGAACAATTTTTAAGATCTTCAATGTGGGGTTTCGTTTTCCTGGGAAAACCAGATTCTGAAACAAATGATGAAGTCCAACATTGATGTTGGTTGTTGGATGACTGATTTCTTGTAGTTGACTCTTTTGTTTGGTTTTTTGGTTCAAGAAAATGTCGATTCTTGGAATCTTCCCTGGATCCGGTCTGACCAAAGCCCAATTTTTTTTGAGTTGGGCCTGTTGCCTTTCTTTTGTGCTACTAATTGTAGAAATTAATTCACTAAAATTAAAAAAAAAAATGCAAATAATAACTAATTTCGTGAATAATATAAAGAAAAATAAGTTTTTAATTTGTTTTTTCATAGTATGTTCATCCACTGACAAAGAGTAACATATTGAATTGAAACTTAAAAAAAAATTAAATTCAAAATTGTTAATAGAAAATGACTTTTCATCAATTTGAATAATAAGATAATTAGAAGAAATTACAAAATGAGATAAATAAAGCAGCTTATTTCGGTTCTTGATAGATTTGTAGCTCTTTTGGAATTATAAGATTATTGCTTATCTCTGCTACTAAATATACAAGGCAAGGAAAAGCTATCCTTCACCTATAAGTTAAAAATATTTAAATTAACTGGTTTCTATAATTATTTTTTAAAAAATAATATTTAATAAATTAATAATTTAAATATTAACACTTACAATCATTTAATTTATTTTTAAATTTATTTTATATTAATTCAACATGCTTTTATATATATACTTTTTTTTTTTTTGAAACTTTTGTCTTTACATACTTATCTATTGATTGTAACCAAAGGTAATATAAAGAATGTACACTCAAGAAGCTCAATGGGTGGATGGTCCATAAAAATGTTCATAATTTGGTTTTAATTGAATTAATCGATAAAATTGATTTAATTCAATTAATCAATCAGTTATTAAATTAATTTTGATCGATTATTGAAAATAATTTTTTAAAATTTTAAATTTTTTTTTAATTTGGTTTAAAAACTAAATTAATCAACCTTTACAATAAATAATATGGATCATTAAATTTCATAAAAAAATTTTAATTTAATGGCTAAAAATTGTTTTTTGAATTAAAAATTAAAAAAAAATTTGACCCTTTGATGAGATTGAATCTTAAGACTTTGGTTTAATCTTAAATAGATATTTTGATGGCTTTCTTCTTCACAAGAAGGAGGATTTTGGCATGAAACCAATGGAGATACCAGCTCGTGAAAGAGGAAAAAACAAAGGAAAAAAGAAAGAAAAAAAACCATTGGTGCTTTACTTGAAGATATCCAAACAAAAATGAGGAAAAAATGTAAATGTCAAATTATTCGAAATTTAACCAAAATATTATAAAACCTATATATAAAACTAAAAATATATGAATTTGTTTATTTCATTTCAAGTTATTAGAGTTTTTAATTTAATATTTTAATATTTTAATATTTTTATTGAATAATTTTATTTAATTTATTTCACATATGAAAAAATAAAATTTTAAAATAAAATTTAATCTAATATATATTATATTACAATATACAAGGTTACATGATCAAAATTGCTTATGTGATTGTTTAAGCGGATAATTTCTTTTAATGACACATAAGATAATATTTATATTATTTTATTTATCAAATAAAAATTTTTAATAAATTATTTAAATTGAATATTTTGGATAATTATTTAAATTGAAATTAAAATCTATCCAAGATTAAAATTTTTGCCTAAGATTTAAATTCAAATATATTAAATCATAATTTATCTTTTTTTAATTTAATAACAATTCCAAATATATATACTTAATAGAATTTTATTTTCTATCAAATAATTCTATTTAATAAATTATTTAAATTTAATATTTTTAGATAATTATTTAAATTTAAATAAAAATTTATCAAAAATTGAAAATTATTTAATAGATTATTTAAATTTAATATTTTTAGATAAGTTAATGAATTATTGACTAGAAAGTATGTATTTTTAAAGTAATAAAATTTTTACATCTTTATATCAAAATATTAGACATTTGAATGTTAATAAAAAAATTAGATAAAAAATATATTTTTGCTTTGAAAACAAATATAATGTTTTATTTATGTTATAATTCAATATTTTTATATTATATATTTGGTTAATTTATTTGTTTCTTTTTAGTCCATAATTTTTTTTAATTTTGCTTAGATTGATTATAATTAACTTTTTGTATTATATATATATATTTTCTTTTATTCATTTTTTCAATATTTTTATTCTTTGTTAATTTACTAATATATTTACTTTTATTATTGTATATATTTAATCTTGACAAATTAACATGTAAATTTATATTCTCTATTTCTTTTTGCTTTACTTTTTATTATTGAATTTCTTTATCTACAATGGATGATATGAGAAAAATTATGATAATTACCATATCTAACTCATAAAAAATACTATCAATTATGTTAAAAATAATTAAAAATAAAAAATATTTCAATTTTTTTAAGCACAACATAAAGAATTATTGTTTCCCTTTTATCTAAAAAATAACTTTATTTTGTTGACATATATAGAAATAATTGTTAGCCTAATATATTTGTGTAATAATTACATGAAGTATGTCAAAAATAAAAACTAATAAAAAGCAAATGATTATAGTAAAATTAATAATTATGATTGTTGTTCAATCAAATATATATATATATATATATATACACACCACCCAATCAACATTACGATAAAAACAATTATTAATCTTAACTATTTAAATATTGATTCTTGATTTTTTATCAAATAAGAAAAAAGTGATAGCAAAATTTTTAGTATTTAGCAAATAAATTGAAGAAAATAATTTTTAATGAAAAAATTTTATAATTTTTGAAAATTTACAAAAATTTAGACTTCTTTTAAATGAAAAATATCATTTTATAATATGTTATGTATAAATTATCATTTAATTGTAATTTAACATTTATAAATATATAATTATATTAGATAAATAATTAAAAAATAAATTTAAAATTATAAAAAATTTAATAAAAATTTCGGTACATTGTTCGGGTTAAAAAACTAGTTTAATAATTTTATTATTATATTAATTGAAAAAATTAATTGAATTGTTCGAAATTTAGATTAATTAATTTTTAAAATTAAAAAATTATATTCAATTAATAAAAATAAAATAATAATTAATTTAATTTAAAATTAACCGAATAAACCGCATCGAATTTAATCCTTGTCATTAACCAATAATAAAGATTGAAAAGCCAATAACAAGATAGCTACCAATGATGTTGGGACCCTGAAATCCAGCTCAAGTTAATCCTTTTAAGTTTCCACTACCAAATCTGCTACAATTCACTACAAGATATACAACGGTAGACATCGACCTGGAAGTACAACATATAACACAAGTTTAACATATAAGTATTTAAGCTTGTAAATCTTGGGCTAAGTTGTTGAGTTAGACAAAAGGTACAATTATTCAATGCCAAAAGATTGTTTCATAACGTGTGCTTGACTGCGTAGGATTAAAACAACCCATTCCTTTGCCGTAGAAAACTTGGAAGCTGACACAACCTAAACGATAGATTTGCTGCCTCAATCTCCAAAACTTTTTATATATATACAGATACTGTCCTGTTTATCTTCATCTTCCTACGTATTTTTTGTCGGAAAAGAGTCGTAGAGAAACAAAGAAGATGAAAACCAAAGGCCTTTACTGTTTTTTGGTCTTGTTTTTTCTGGGTTTTGAAGATTGTGTTCAGGGAAGGTTGTTAGCAGCATCAAAACCTGACAGAGATGCTGCTGCTGCATATGCTCGTTGGTTGGTGTCCCAGAATTCTTGGGGGATTTTAAAGTAATACTTTTTTTCTCTCTCTGGCTTCTGCTACTTTTTGTTGTTCCAATTTGTTGTTGTGATTCTTGTTTTGAGATTGTAAATTGGATTCTGTGTTTGTTTGTATACTTTTAACTTTTGATTAGATGACCCAATTGATTGATATTGTAAAAATTTTCTAAGCAATTACTTTGACTTCTTTTTGTTTTTTGCTCAAAGATTAATCCTATGCTTGCTGACACAAGGGGGAAATGAAGGAAAAAATGCAAAATTGGCAGTATATAATAAAATGCTTTTGCCTATGTATCTTTTAATATTGGGGCTTGCTTTAATAATTTCTATTGGCTTTTATTTTCCATGGATCATATTTGTTGCTTGGCATCAACAGCTTAGAATTCATTGATTTTGTAGGCCTGGCTCATTACTCATTTTAATTTTGCAGTACAATATCAATTGAGTTGGAAGGAGCACCATTTGGGTAAGCTTTTCTGACATATTATCTTATAGTCAGTTAATAAAATGAGGCTATTCCTCCTGTTTAAGCTCAAAACTTTATGTTCCTTTCTTTGGCTTGTACTTGTATTTTCTCCTTCTTTATAAGCCAAGTTGGAAAACTTCTTGGAATGAAAGGATCTCAGCTAACCTGACTCTTATTTCAAATCTCTGGTTTTATTAGTTGGGAATAGAGTTCGAAAAGATATGATTACTGTTTTAAGAATTTTAGGAGCTTTCATTTACAATTCACCAACACACGATCATTGAGAAAGCAGAAGAATGCTTTAACTGTGGACATTGATATATAGTTATGTACCTATGGTTGAAAATTGGCATGGTGTTTATCTTTACATTTTCTTCTGAGATGCATATTTGCAATGTAATGTCTCACAATTAAACAATAGGTTTCCATAAACCTTCGGTATTCAAAGGTAGTTGTTTGAACATGTCATGACACTCTCTCATGGTCCTGCCTTTTCCCTGCTCAACAAGAATGTTAACTTGTGCTGCAGGAATGTTGTTTCATTTAGTGATGGGTTACCTGACAAAAGTACTGGCATCCCATATTTCTATTTGACAACCCTTGATCCAACAGCAAGAAATGCATTGCAAGACCATAGGTCGTCACTTACAATCAGTGAGTATCCACTTGGAACTTGTGGCAAAGCAGATCCAGAGAGCCCTGTTTGTGCAAAAATCACACTCACGGGAAGGGTTCGTTGCTAAATCTAGTACTTTATCCTCATAGAACTTAATGCTTTTAGTTTTTCTCAAGTCACCATTTGGAAAATATTATTGTGTCCTGTTTGGTGTCTATATACATTAACTCTCATGTTTCTTATTGTTATTTGCTTTTGTCTCACTTGTGTGATTTATAAATATTAAATTATATATGGTAATCTGATTCATATGATAAAGTTATACTGGTTTTTTATTACTAGAACCATTGGAATGAAAAAGAAAAAAGAAAAGATGAACGAAATGACTTTTAAATGATTTTTAAACTTAATTTTATTGTGCCTTGTGGTGTTATAGTTGGTACTAGTTGATGCTAACTCTGAAGAGGCAGAATTTGCTCAAACTGCCCTGTTCACAAAGCATCCCGAGATGAAGGGTAATTCTTAACCCATATAATTGGTATTCACTTGGGTTCCTTTCTTTAGTCTAGACTTGTAGTGACCAAGTTTGCATTGGTTGGTGGACAGGGTGGCCTAAGGGTCATGACTTCGAGATCTTCAAACTGGAGATCGAAGACATATTTATGATTAACTGGTTTGGTGGCCCTAAGCCTCTCACAGTTGAACAGTATCTCAACTACAAAATGTGAGTATCAAAGCTGTATACCATGTTTGCTTTTGCAATTGTATGCTAAAAGTTACCCCAAGTATATCACTTGTACTGTCAAATCATCAGTCATAATGAATAAACCTAACTTCATGTGGTAGTTGTTATTTGATGTTTGCTAATTAATTTTTCCTCCCTGATGTGGGTCTTTGCCATCTACAGGAACAAATTTGGCGTCAGCCTGTGAAAAGTGAAACTTAATACTAAACTCCATTCTTTTACATGGTTCTATATGTACGTGAATTTAAACTGTGTATAATGAAAACTATCTTGTAAATAAATCCAATACAGTTGCTCTTATTATTTATGGTTAATCCTATTGCATTCTGAAACAATCAAAAGCAATAAAACGGTTAATATAAGAATTTTTCTATGTTTTTATTTTTATTTAATCATAATCTGGAAAACATGAAGTTGTTTGCTCTTTTGAATTAATAGCCTGCGGTTGATTTATGTGATTACCTGTAACTTTTTAAATGTAAGTCATTGCTGTTATAGAACTAGTGAGAATTTACCTTTAAGGGATCAGTAATAAAGTTTGAGCCGATGCCTGATATGCAGGCAGCATATAGATCAGTATGCCGTAGTTTTCGAAAGCAAATGTTCCCTTTGCATGATCATATCAGAAAGTTTATCATTGTTCTAATTTTTTGAGTTAATCTCTGATGCATTTTTGCTACTTAATATACTTGAATTCGAAAGTTTGTAGCTTTCTATTTCAAACCTATGCTTTCACACACACACACTTTCCACCCTGTTCTGATCCTGCCATACTGATCCTGCCATAAGAAACAGCAGGATCTTCTTCTTTATCTTCTAGTGGCTGAGCCCTGCATTTTTGGGCAGTGTTATCTTCTACTTGTGCTAGACTTTGGCAGCCATGAATTCTCATCAGATTAGGGTTGAGGATCTCGAATACGGATATTGAACAGAATGAGTTGTACAAGTTTAATAATGGTTATCTGCAAAACTAAAGAGATTTTATTGAGAAAAAAGAAGGAAAGGGCATAGGATTAATAACCAAAATCGCAATTTAGTATCTAAATTTGCCTTGCAAGAAGCCAGGGATATGCGGTTCCAGGATGCATGTGGCATAAGATAACACAAGCCAGTGATATAAGATGAATGCTTTTTAATGCACGCAACATTAATCCAATGGTCATTCCAAGCTCATTGGAAAAGCTATGGCTGTAAATTTTTTATCCTGCAGACTCCATTTTGAATACCAAGCTAAAATGTAAGAGGGTCTTCAATTCAGAAAATTAACAATCAGCCTGTTATGGATATCTTTTTATGCTATAAATATTAGCAGGTGGTTCTATCAGTACCGTGCACGTGCAGATATATTCATCATTCTTCAACTAGAATGTGAGGACACTTGTCTGGTTCTAGTTGTCTTGGTACTGCTCTCCGCATGCATTCTCCACTTGTTTGCATCGACGAACAAGATTGCGATCTTACATCTTCAAATAATTCGGTGTGTTCTCACTGCTTTCCGGCCACTTACCACATGCATAACATCAAGTGATTTTGACATCTTGCTCTATGCTTCAAAATTAGAGATCCTTTTTGATGCCCCATTGTCAATAAAGTCGATAATGGATGAAGTGCATGAGTCTATCATCCACTCTGTGTAGCATAGTTGAATTATCAAGTCTAAGTCTTTGTCCAATTCGTTTGTTTGTAACCATTATTTTCAAAACCTGAGAAAAATTCTTGTTAGACGTTCTCAGGACTTCAATTCTTTTGAATAAGCTGGTTGTCAATTTTGAATATTTGGTTCCATATTTAACTTGCTTCTTTCATGTTTTTCACCAATTATGTGCATCAAACTTCCTAGTTGACAAACTGATCATTCAACGAATTTGGCCAAAATTAAAACATATTCTTTTATTTTTATTATACTTTAAATAAATTTTTAACTTTCAATTTGTAACCAAATAAACAAATAATCTTTTCCAACTTTTTCAAGACTAAGTGACCATTTCCCAATTCCAAAGCTTCCAGATTCCTCTCGTTGCCTTCTGCTGCTCAATCACTCTTTATAGATAAGTATTTAAGTGAATAAATCCAATAATTACACTATTTGAGCATTGAAGAATGATAAAAGTAGCCATCAGGAGTAATATTTGATTAGTATATACTTCTGAGATTTCAGCCCTCCATCCTCCCAATGACCCACATTTAACATGCCTATATGCAGTGTAGCAAGGAGAGGTTGAATTCATGTTCTAGAGTTAAAGTTGATGTTTGATAGGATCACTTGATTTTCACCTTGTACCAAAGGGATCTTCAAGTTTCAGCACCAAACAGGGAATTGCACCGGATAACATTATGATTATTCTTGGTTTCTTGCATGATAAAATACCCAAAATACATGAGCTAAGAATGGATATTCGAAAGGCAGGACAGGATGATGTGAAGCAAAATCAGTTTTCTAAGATTGGCTCAGAAACCAAGAAAATTCTTCAACTATTTCCCTGGTCAACATTTTTTCTTTGGCTGTAAATAATATAAAAAAAATTTTTGGATAAAAAAAATTAAGAGTAAAAAAATTTATTTCATTTTAAAGTTAAGATAAATCATTAATTCATGGAAAAATTTATAAATTTATAATTTTTTTTAATTTATAAATTACCTGTCAACATCATAAAATTTAAATCTAAATACATTACATTTATGCTTAAATTTTAACTATTTCGTCAACTCATTAAAAAAAAAATCAAACTGTACACATTATGGGCTATTTTATTAGGGAGGGATCTTGGGTTTGGATATCTCTCTCTTTCTCGTCCGTCTCATCTGACAAACGAGAGAGACAGCACAAAAACCTTGAATTTTCTTTCTTTTCTTTCTTTCAACGCCAGAGAGAGAGGCCCCAACGGCAATCATGATGTTCTCTTTCTCTGTATCTTCTCCATTGCAATCGTTGTTCCCACAGGAACCCACTGCCTTTTATCATCATTACCTTCCACAATCTTCAAAGCATGTCATCATTTCATCAAACGAAAAAGATGAGAAAAAGAAGTCAGAAGCTCTATCGAAGGACATCTGCTTTCAAGTGGGGAGAGACCATCAGGAAGAAAGCAAAGAATAACGATCTTTCAAGCTATTGCTTTTCTTGTTTTTGAGCTTTGTTCTTGGTTTTGAGTGATGGGTCGTTTCTCTTCTCCAGACTTTCCAAGTCTTTTTTCTTTCTTTCTCTAACTTCTTGGGGGAATCAAGCATCTTGGTCCGAAAGCTTTGCTCGATCAAAGCAAATTTATTAATACTAGCTTTTATTGGTTTGTATGGTTTTCAAGGTTATTGAAGACAACTAAGTGCAAAACCTTGTGTGTTTTCACAAGGTTCTTTAAGAGATCTCTCTCTTTTCTTGATCTTGTTTCTATATATGAACTTTTTTTCATCCTACTTTCATCTTCTATTCTTCTTCCATGCTGATCTTTTAGTTAAGATAGAAATATTTACCTATATTGATCTGTCTTTCAATGGCTTTATCAAGCAGATCTACCATGTTAGACTAGCTTTTCTTGTATTAGGGTTTTTCAGTTTGTACCATCCAAGTCCTATCCCCTTCCAAAAATTTCTTACAAAAGTACTGTCTTGATCTTATTATTGAACTCACATCATGAGCTTGCCATAATCAACAAATTAAGAAAACAAAGGTAATATACAATCATTTGACCATCAGTTTTGCTTTTATACATTTGTTTTTCCTTCTTTTTGTCTATATTGAAATAGATCATATGTATTGGAGAAGAAACTCTTGGATGATATATATATGGTTTATCTAAGCTCCAGAAAATAATCTTATTTGGTATAGTAACTTATTTTTCATTTAATTTTGTTTTTGAGTAGCCATCTATTCTCTTTTTGAGAAGCTACAACATTAAAGTACCTTCAAATTTAAAGGATTGAATTTTTTTAAGTAATTGTTGATTCAAGTACACATATTTTCTTCTGAGTTTGGAGAAAATGGAAACTATACTTCCAAAGGGTTTGACATATTTTCACTTGCTTATGATGTTCATGTATGATGTATCTTGATCCTCTTAAGAGGAATAAGATCACACATATGTTTAGCTATCTGATCAAGTTTGCTCCCTTAATATACCATGTAGGATGATCTCTTTCCCTTTGATTTTTTTTTTCACTCTTCTCTATCAAACAGGAGATTAAAAAATATGTTAATATTTGTCTAAATGGTAATACTATGCATCTTGAGGGAAATTTTTCACTGAACAAAGTTATTCTTAATAATTTGCACAACTTCAAATGTTGTTTGATGATGAGGATGGGTTTCAGGTTATTAACCTATAGACATTTCAGGCAACTCCTGCTCTAATTGCAACATTGTAAATTAAGTACATGAAAAGAAACTTAACTAGATCCTCAAAGCTATGTCTTTTCTAATCTGATGGTTAATCATCCTTTTGAAGAGACACCAACAGCAGAGGCCATGCATGTATATTCCAGTTGTCCTTTTTATATTCCTTTCTAACATTCCATCCATTATTAAAAGTGAAAAAGAAAAATATTTTTTTAGTAAAGAATATCGCAGAATGAAAACAAAAGAAACAATAGAAAATTTAGATTTTAGATATATTAGATACATCTCTTAAAATTGATTTTATATATTAATTAAATTAAATTTAAATTCATAATATACAGCTTTAATATCTCAAACTCTTACCTATATGTCTGTACTAAGTAATTCTATGTACGTAGGGACGGAGTTGAGATTTATGATTAGTGAGAATAAATATTTTAAATTAATTTAAAATTTTTTTATTGAATTATAAATTATTTTAAAAATTCCAAATAAAATTATTATGTATAATATTTTTTGCAAAGGAAAAAAAAGAATTTTTTTTGCAATATAAATAATATTTGCATAATTAATTATATGATTTTTTACGAACATAGCTTAAATAATATTTAGATAAATTATTTATCATAATAGATACACACATATATAAATATATTAATTTAATAAAATTTTACTTACAAAATTCTTAAAAATAAATATAATATAAGAAAAAATGAAATAAAATTTAGCATGTCTAATTTAATTATTTACTTTTAATATGTTTAGTTTTATCATTTACTTTTAATAAAAAAATATATTTAATTTTTATTCATTGTAATTTAAAAAATAAAAAAATTATTCTTTTCTCATGTACAATTAAAATAAGATTGAAGCTAATTATTTATTGTATTACTTCATATTTTTATGTTATTTTTTTTGTGATAAAAAGCGGTTAAATCATTTAAGCACTGCAAGCTTCATATCTCATTATCCCTATAAGATTAGCTTGCATCAATCTAAACAAATTATTATAAGAAATTAAAAATTTAGTAATTTTAAACTCTTTAAAAGTAATTTATTTTATTTTTTGCAAACTCAAAAAAATACATATATAAATATATATATATATATATTATAATGATATTGCTTAGCACTTAAAGTATTAATTAAAGATGTAAATAATACATTAATACTTGTAAGCTACTCAGATTTAATTCAATTCGATTAAAACTCAAATTCAATTTGATAATTGTCGAGCCGAGCTTGAGTTCAAGCAGCTTAACTTATCGAATGAGTTGAGTTTGAGCATATTAGTATCCGACTCAAATAGCTCGTAAGCCTAATCGAGCTTTTCTATTATATATATTTTTTATTATTTTATTTATAAAAATACTATATTACCCTTAACCTAAAAAATTATAAGGGGAAGTTTGGTTCGCAGAATCGTAGATTCCGAAGAAAAGTGTGATCCTCGAAAAAATGTAATACCCAAGATTTTTTTTCATTTTTAGGACATCTTGTGTTCAAATTCACTCATTTAGTTGGGAGGAATTCACATATATTAAATCTTGAATAATTACTGTAATATCCTTGACATATATGATGAAAACTTAAATAATCCAATTTTTAATTGAATGGGATTATTCATGGTGTTTAAACTCGAAAATACTTTGAATAATCCTTACAAAAAAATTTTATGAAAAACATCTTCAATAACCCCTGTCAATTTAATAATCATATTTAATTTTTTGTAAAAAAATATTTAAAGAGTTTTTGCCCAAAAAATGACTCGAATAATCCCATACAATTGAATGGGGTTATTCAAAATATTTTATGGTAAAAAGCGCCTTGAATATTGTCTTAAAAAATTGAATTGCATAATTCAAGACATTTCTGACAAAAAATGCTTAAATAATCCCTTCGTATTTTTTTGATGGATTATTCAAGGTATTTTTTGTCTAACAATGCCTTGAATAATCCCTTAAAAAATTGAGTAGGATTATTGAAGTCGTTTCTGGCCAAATACGCCTTGAATAATCCTCATCAATTATATGAGAAAATTTTAAAGCCAAAAATACCTTAAATATTCCCTTAAAAAAATTTGAATATGATTATTTAAGGCGTTTCTAGTAAAAAATATTTTCAATAATCCCCTCGTAATTTTTTTTTATGGATTATTCAATGTATTTTTTATCAAAAAATATCTTGAATAATCCCATAAAAAACACCTTCAATAACCCCATTTAGGTTGTTGTATGGGATTATTCGATATTTTTTGGTCAAAAATACATTGAATAATCCATAAAAAAAATTACGAGGGGATTCAATAATCCTATTAATTTTTTTGACTAAGGATTATTAAAGGCGTTTTTAGCCAAAATACCTTGAATAACCCCAATTTTGTTTTTGTAAGGGATTATTCAATGCGTTTTTTGAAAAAAAAAATACCTTAAACAATCTTTAATACAAAAATGAAGGAGATCATTCAAGGCATTTTTGACAAAAAATATATTAAGTAATCACCTCATAAAAATTTATAAGGGCATTATTGAAGACTTTTTTACCAGAAATGCCTTCAATAACTCCATTAAAAATTTTTTGAGGATTATTGAAAGTATTTTTATCCAAAAATACATTGAATCACCTTATAAAAATTTATAAACTTCCAATTTTGTTAGTTTTCGGCTGCTTTGAACTTTGTCATTTTATCTTTCATTTGCACATTCAAGTTGGATTGATTGTTGTATTAGGTTATTTATTTATTTTATGATATTATTTTGAAATATATCATATTTAATTGATACAAAATATTTGTATTAAAAAATCTTAATTCGAGCTTGAATTTAAGTACCAATAATTGAGCTTAAGATCGAGTATGGAATCAAACTTATTTTTTAATGATAAACGAGCTTATTCGAGTGAGCTTAAGTAGTTCAGTTTTTATCACGAATTGAATTTTAATTAAAAAAATAAAACTTGATCGAATTTAAGTCGAATATCGAATTACAAGTTGGGAATCGAGCTCGAGTTTCTTATTGTATCATCTCGACTCCACTCAATTACACCCATAGTGTTAATGCTCAATTATTAGATAAATAATGAAAAATTTCATGTATGAACCTTAATTTAGTGAGAGCAAATATGATCACAAAGATTTTTGTATAAGGGTAAACGTTTGAATTTTCAAAACTTTTGATATTTTTTATAATAAACCCAAAAGATTTTATGGCAACTGCCCCTACATGCTTCTACGTAGATCCAATCCCTATATGTACGAACAATTAGTACAATCTTGATACCATTGATCATTTCTCCTTCTTTCAAGTGCATAGACAAGCTTTGATTTTTGTACGTTTTGACGATCAGTACCGATAATTGGACTTAGAAAGATAGCACTGTTGAAACCTTTGGGTGATCAACTAAAGTGAATTAACCACAAGAATTGAGTGCTTTGAGACCTTTTCTAGGGATGATAACCAGTCATCTTGCCAATTATGCTCCAAAGAGGGTCTAAAAACTGATACTCTAATTTGAAAGTTGCTAATATTATTAGCTGTTTTACACTTTAAGTCATCTAATATATAGTATATACTCTGGCTTCATGGATTTGCATTCAAAAGACTAATGGTCTAAGATGAACAGTGAAATTAATTTTAGCAATATTGAAAATAGATGTTGAGATAAGATTAGTTAATATAATCATGAGATTGATTATTGTAATAATGAGATTAAAATTAGTGGTGAGATATATGTTTGGATATCAATATCAACAATGATAATGAGTTGAATTGCAGTGAAAAAAATAACTATCAAATCTATTAAATTTAAATTTATATAAAATATAAATTTTAAATTATTTGATATTTATAAAATTAATAAATTATTAAAATTACTATATGTCAAATAATAATTTTATTAAAAAATAAGTAAAATTAATAAAAATGATATCAAATATTTTTTTAAAAAAATTGATAATAATATCTTTACACAATTGATGATAATTTAGAAAAAAATAACAATCATTTATATATCAAAATAATAATTATTTTTATTCAAAATAAAGTTTAAAAAAATAAAAAAAAATTGACAAAGAAAAGCTTATGAAATGAGTGCATTATAGTTTTGATACAGAGCTCTAATATGAGGTTATTCTTGTAAAGGCAAAAGAAAAAGATGGTTAGAGGTAAAAGCAAGAGATGTTCTCTACGTTTACACTTTGATGCTTAAGTCAGTAAGGATCAAGTTGAAAAGAAAATAAGAAACTAGGAAGGAGAGAAAAGTATGAGTTAGATGAATCTGACTTTATGGTGCTTAAGTCTTCATATTTATAAGTAAGCTAAATGAGACTATAAAGAGACAATTAGAACATGGCGAGTTGATGTGGTATTGACCATGTTAGAGCTGAGGTGGCATTGACCCTATTAGATCGATCTGACATGTTAGGTAGGTATAAATAATCAAGATATCTTTAATTGTCTGCTAAAGGTTTTGAGAGAGAAAAAGATCATTATATCTTTTTTATCATCATATGTCCCTAACATATAATTAAAAGGTAAAAAAAATATTAAAGCAAAGTCTATTTTGAGAAAAATCACTATAATAGAAATGAAAAATCTCATAGAACTCTTTTCTTCTAGTGAAATTTTAGCAATACGATGAGAATTTTTGTGCTCAATCACATCCAAACCTGTTATTCAAATGATTTTTCATGGTGCAATAACATACAAATGAATTCTTGCTATCCTCTTACATATATTTTTTATATTTTTTTATTTAATGACAAAGAATTTTTAAATTGCTTAATACATTTCTTTTTCAAATTGGTCCAATCCAAACTAATTTATCTAGGTTGGATTTTTTTATGCATTTATATATGAACCAAAATTGAAAAGAACATAATGATTTATGCAATAATGGTTAAAATTAAACAACTAGGAGGTTTTGGAAATGGCGATGGACATTGAAGCGATTTCAGAAGTGAACCCAACCAAACTAAAATATAAACCAAATTACAGCCCAACAAGGCCCAAAAATCCTGAAAATTGAAACAGGCTAGTTTAATTGATAAAGGTTTGTTTTCTTTTATAAAATAATTTTAGGTTTGAATTTAATTGATGATTTCCGATCACCTGTTTTAAAATTATTTAATATGATATCATCTTATCTTGATATAAAAAATTAAATAACTTATCAGTCTTAACTTTTTTCGCAAAAAAAAAAAAAGAACTGGGTGGTTTCGTGTAATTTGATGCTTGATTTTTCACAACCGCAGAAGGCAGGCAGCCCTTAAAAAAAACCTAGTAAAAAGGAAAGATCATGAATGAAACTAAAAACCAAAATAAAATAATCCTATTACAAAATCGAAACAGTAACGGACAGAAAAAATAAGTACTTGAAACTATAAAACAAATATTAAAAAAAAGAAAAAACAAACAAACAATCAAATAGATAGACAAAGGTCAGTTGTACTCGAGAAAAGTGAGAGGTAGTTTAATTTCTATTGCAGTAAGGCGTTAGCCAAGAAAAGCCATGGCTCTTCAAGCAACTTCCTGTAACTATGGAGGCATTTCATCTCTTCTTTGCCCTCCTAATACTTCCCGTCACCGCTTTGTAATCAGAGCTAAAGGTAATTACTTTTGCTTGTTTTATTGAAGACCCAAGTTTCGTATCATCACTTTTGGCTTGAATTTGATGAATTGAGTTGCGTTTTTTGTTTTTTTGTCTTGGGGGTTGAATGTTATGTGATTATGTGAGTTAAACTTTCTTCCTTTTTATATCTTGAATTTGATGCTGTTTTTATGAGTAAGAGCCGTAAATTTGGTTTTCTGTTTGATATCATTCATGGGTCTCGATGTTATGTGATTATATGAGTCAAAATTTGTCTTTTTTATTTTTATATATTTATTTATTATTGTTATTTTTTTTGTGTTCTATTTCAGTGGAACCATCAAAGAAATCTGTGGAAATAATGAGGAAATTCTCAGAACAGTATACACGTCGGTCAGGAACATATTTCTGTATGGATAAGGGAGTGACTTCCGTTGTAATTAAGGTGCTCTTTAAATTCAGCTCATTATAGATTTAACTCCATACTCTCATTTCAGTTTGCATCTCAGATTCTGAAAATCTTCACATATGAGTCATTACCCGGATTTGATCCCACGTAAGTGAGGTATTCAAAGGGCTGAATTGCTGAGGATACGCACTTCAGCATATCTGCTAATATGGCAGCTCAAAAAGCTTCATATATTAGTCTTAGAGGTTGATGCAAAGCGTTATTAAGGTAGGTGAATATGGTTGATGGTGGAAGCAATGTCATATTCTTTCAATTGCTAGATATTACCTTGAGCAAGAAATTTGTTTTAGCTATTATTTAGGCTGCATATTGTACCAAAATTCAAGGGCCATTACTTAGCTATGTCTTCATGAAGTGAGGTATTGGGAAGAGTAGGTAGAAAAAGTCCCATCCTTTAGTATTTATCCTAGACCATTCATAGCAGAATTGTTAGCTATTCTGAGTTGGTGAACCTAGGTTGCAATTGGAAGGAACTGAATGTCATCTTCTAAGGCTAGCAAGTGAGAAAAATCTTCCTTTCGACTCAATTCAAATTGAGTTGTTCTATTGTTAGAACTCCACATATGTCTGGGTTGTTCTGGAGAAGTTGAATTCAAAAATTTTCAGTTCTTTGTGTGCCAACAATGGATGGAAGACTTGCAACTTGTTCATTCATGATAAAACAAGATTGATTGAAGAATAACTATATGTCTATACTCAACTGTTCCAACTATCTCTGCCTTAGTTGGGATCATGTTGACTGTGATGTATTTTTTGGAAACATGAAACTGAATGTTGGATTATTTTCTTACGGAATCTAACTCCTACTTGAAAAGAGTGTAAACCTTATCTTAGTTCTAATTCTTTATTTGATCTATCTTGTTCACTCGTCTGTTCAAAATATGATACACAAAAAATTCTAAAAGGGGGAAATAAAAAAACTCATTTCGATATTTGAACAGGGATTGGCGGAGCATAAAGATACATTGGGTGCACCACTCTGCCCTTGTAGGTAAATATTTCCTTCATGATCTATCAATCTTGTTCAGAATTGTTAATCCTATTACACTTTCATATCTTGATATTTATAGCTATCTCAGATTTAATAACATTCAAGTGTAAATCAAATGAATTACAGGCATTATGATGACAAAGCTGCTGAGGTAGGGCAAGGCTTTTGGAATTGTCCATGCGTTCCCATGAGAGAGAGGTAAATATATTGTCACAAAATAGTTTAATCTATATTCCTCATGTAAATGGTCTCACTGCAAGAGTTGTATGGGAAGTGAAAAGATCTTTTGATTTATCCTAAAAAGGCATAGATGATAAGTGCCTTTCTAACCCATCGTCCAGTGCCTACGTTATATGGCATAAAACCTTTTGAGATCCCTTGTAAAAAACGGTGCATGTCAACTTGCTGATTTTAACTTAGTGGAAACTTCTGAACTGGAGCTCACTGTACTGAAGAACTAGTTAGTTATCTTCTGAAATTAAGTAACACTACTTTAATCTCATGATTGAGATTGATTTTGAAGCACCTTCAGCAGATAGGTATAGCATTGAACGTATTAAGTGGGGAAAGATTTCCATAATCTTTAACTACTTAAAGTAAATCCCATTACAAGGACAATGTTCTAAATATCAAAACAAATGCAAGGATATTTTTGAATCTCATCTACCATATAAATAATTGAACAAGAAACTTGCTGCCAAGAAAGGCAGATCTGTGTTGAAGTTGAAATTGTCCTTGGAAGATGAGATTCCTTGTTGTGTCATCTCTAATATCATGGCAAAGGGTGTTAACAATTTACTATGGCTTGGAGTTCTGATTCATTTATGCATACTGATGTTTCTTGCATTCTTAGCTGTACTATGAAAAATTCAAGCTATATTTCTCTTTTTCCAAGGGCACAAAGTCTTTTGAAAAATAAAAATGAAGAACTACTTTGGTGTGTTCTACATCTACTACTCTTTCTAGTGAGGCAAATTATTGTGTGGGTTGAAAGTTAGCAGTTCATAATATTACGGATAACAGTTAAAACATGTCTTTGTTGAAGGCTGTTGCCCTAAAGAAAACAAAAGCTGGTTGCTGGAATGCAGATTGAGAACCACGAAATCATCACTCAGATATTTTTAATTTCGGTGAATCTAGTGTTACTATATTAATTTCATTAACTTAATCTACATTCTCTTATTCAAATTTACAACTGTTTGGCAGGAAAGAATGTCACTGCATGCTTTTTCTCACTCCAGATAATGATTTTGCTGGCAAGGATCAGGTACGTATTTGGGTTGCTAAATCTTTTTTCTCAGCAATTACAAGCATCATATCTTTAGCAGACATTTTCTTGCTGTTTTTGCTCTAACAATATGCTTTTTTTTTTCTTGATGTGCAGTCCATCACATTGGAAGAAATCACGGAAACAACAGCAAACATGTAGCTCTTGACATGTCCAATTTTATTTCTCTAAACAGTCATAACTTGTATTTGGCCCCAAGAAAGAAGACAAACCAACAGAGGTTGTATTCATATGTATATTTGTATGTCAATAGGGGATAAATTCATGTCTTTGTATCTATGATCTTTAACCTCCTTCATGAACCCTGTTCAGATGCAGCCTACTCTGATTTGCTTCAACTCCTGAAATAGCAATCATGGTTCTAATTGCTGCATTGATTTTGGAATTCTTTTGGCAATAAACATGAGTAATATATTTTGAATCAGTACTCAAATTATTCAATGCTAAAGCTGTTATAGTTTTGGGTCTCAAAGTCTCCATCCTACACAACTTGGACTTTTAGTTCCTCTTGCCAACGTGGTTACTTGAACAATCAAAGTCTTGAGAGTTATCTTTGTTTTAAACTTGTAGAATCATTGGCAATTATTTCATATTGTTCCCCCGGTAACTTCCTAACTAGTTGGGATCAAGCAACCTCTTAAAATATGCATTAGTTTCTTGATAATGGTTTTATCATACAACTCCATATTTGATCCTGTATGAAGCTTAGACAAGGTGAAGTAGTGGGAATGAACATTATCAAGCAACCCTTTTTTTAATCATTTGTGGATATAAAAATAACAAGAGCAGGATTTGATTCTATGATCTCGATTAAAAGAATTGCTACAAAAGCAGTACAGCTGAAGCACAAGAGATTCTTTGAAGAAAAAATAAAATGACTTTTTTTTTTCTATTTCAGAAATTAATGCAAAAATTAAAAAGATAATGAAAATTACACTTTTTGCTAATCTTTTCTTTCTCTTTCCTAGCTAACAAACACTGTCTTAGGAAAAATACTAGTCAGAAATTTATATGACAATGAGAATTCGACAATCCTGGGGCATTGACTTGACCAAAAGTGTTGTAGAGCCCACAAGGACAAACGCTGGCCTTCTTCCTTCTATACATGGCAAAACCAGAAAGGTTATACCTTCATTTACTTCCCTTTTTCCTTCATTCTTCTCCTTCGTTGCCGTGTAATTTCTTTACAGTTTCCTGAAGTCCAAATTTCACCATCAAGAATGCCTCCTTTTAACGTTGTTGAATTTTACATAGCAAAGAAACATTGACAATATAACCCCCCAAAGTTTCATTCTTGACTTCTCAGGTCTCAAATATATGGCAAAACCCAGAGTTACCATCACCCTGGGAGGCTCAGGCAAGGTACCCATCTGCTCATTTACTCTCAAATTTCAGTTTTTATGATCATTTGGGGTCAAGGGTTCTTCAATTATTAGTGGGTTTCTTCTGTTTTTGTTAAAAACTAGTACTTTTGGGACATGTGAGTCATATTTTTTGGTATACAAATATGGACTAAAGTAATAAATAGAATAACTTTTTTCTGGTAAAATGATCTTTGTTTTAGGTGGTGAAGAAGGGAGATGATGTCGTGGTTGATCATGAAGGAATGACTGGAAGCAAAAGATTCAGACATGACAAACCCTGGAGTGATGGTGGTGCTAGCAACTTCATTTCGAGCAACAGAAGGTTGGTTGTTGTCTATTTCTGCTTTTTATTTGTCTTTTTATTAATTTTCATATTGTTTTCTGCGTTCAACTTTTTGTTTAATTAGCTAGTTCTTGTTGAACTTTTAGGTGAATGTATTTGCTTAGTAAGTGAGAAATTCATCTGTTATTTTAACTGACATTAATTTGTATTGAGATTGGATTCCGGGTATGACTATTTTTCCTTTGCTTGAATCTTTTGTTTTCATAAATATGATGAAAAATAAATTTCTATGTTTAGGTTTATGTATTAGTTTTGCGTGTCATTTTTCCAGGCATCGAGGAAATGTTACTGAACGCAGATCAGGTGGCAGTACAGGACAAGGTAATTGTTAGCTATTATTTTTGAATTCAACTAGGCTTGATATATCTCATTTTTGCTATTTAAATATGGTTGTTGACTGATTATGGTGCTGTGAGATTACTGAAGGTTCTCGGATTGCTGGAAATGACCTCCGATTTAAACTGATACGCAAGCGTGGACTTCATCACTTTCGGAGTGCTTTTAATGAGCGTGGAAAGAGGAATTCAGGAAAGCTGTCAAAAGATATTAGGCCGCTGCAAAATCTTAGCAAGCATCCATGTAGTCTAGAACCAAACAGAATCGAGAATCTAGGTCAAACTACTCACAATGGCATTAAAGATGGTTTGCATAAATTTTCCTTGCAAAATATGGATGGATCAAGAGGTTTTTCTGACATGCCACAAATGGTACCAACTGCCCTTGCAAGTGCTAATCTGTTTTCGAGCAATGGAGTTTTTTATCCTTCTATGGAGACCGGTCTTGTACCTTTTACAGAAAAAGTGATACCTGCCAGGCCGGTCACATATGTAGCACCAATGAGCAGCATAATGCAGAGAAAGCCACATGTTGTATGTTTCTTGCTTGCAGTAGCTTCGAGTTTCCTTAATTTGGTGGATCTTTTTTGTTAGTCTACTTTTCTCATGTAAAATTATTGCTATGACCATTAGGCATTTTTATTTCGGGTACAAGTCTTACTTTAAACTATTTTCACTTTCTTGGAATTTCACAGGATGAGGAACCTTTCGCTGTTGCCACCTTGTTGAACTCACTTGGTTTGGGGCAATATACCAATCATTTTAAGGCTGAAGAAGTAAGTGAACTGCTTTTATCTAGTGTCTCAAAAGAAGGATGCCTCTGAATGTGTTCTTATAGCCCAAATTGACTTGTTTCTTGTGTCTGCTATATGTTGAAGGAACCAACTTATCTGTTCTAGCTACGAAGTTGACACCTGTATTTATTGACTTGTATTAATGACCTGAGGCACATTCATTGCCACAACTAATCTGTAGTTTTCCTGTTTGATGAGAAGGTCCCATGGCATGTTAAATTCTATTTTCTTCTAAATTTTCAGGGTTGATTGCAGCCTCTTTCTTTTAATGACTACTTATTTGACACTTGAATTGTGTGATTACAGGTGGATATGACCGCATTAAGGCAAATGGGAGACAGGGACCTCAAAGAGTTGGGTATACCAATGGTATTGTCATTGCATACTTTTGTACTTGGTCATTCTAGAAGTATATGAACATAGAGCTTCTCACAGCTATTCTTTTTTTTGTTATGTGACTACTGCTTTTGGTTTATTACATAAGTTTACTGCTTTCACCTGTCATTTAGCTAGAGCGCCAGTGCATTGCTCTACATAATCTTACAAAATTTGACTGTTTAATGACAAACAAACTTGCTAAAGAAATTCGCAGGAGGGGAATGAAAAGATAGGAGAAAAATAGAGATACGGCATGGAGAATTGGAACGTTTGATTGAGATATTAATACTTATTGGAATATAATAATAATTAATTGAATGATGACCTGTTATAATGATCATTTCACAGCAATGTGCATTTTAAAAGTTCATTTTGTTCTGACTAGTTCCGCCTGATTTCCAGGGACCAAGAAAGAAACTTCTCCTTGCTCTTACGCCCCCTTCAAGGCGTCATCTATTCCGCATGCGACTTTAGTTTGCTGTTTAGTTGGTGGAGTTTTTCATTTGCAAGTTTGAGAATCTTAGAACGTAACGTAACAGGTTGCTTTTTCATTTCTAAGTGGTGGTTTTATCCATCATTTGAAAGTTCTCTTCGTTTTAGTCTTGCAAAATAGGTGGATTATCATATTGATCTATGTATCTGGACAAATTTCTAATTGGTATGTATTTAGGATATATTGTTCCTTTCCTATGATCTAACAAAGAAGATTATATTGTCATGATCCCTTGCTGGTTTAAGTTTTCGGTACTCCTAAAACGAAACAAGAAAATTTGTGCATTAAACAGAAGAAAAACAGAAAAATAATGTGCGTCCTAATAGGCCTTTACAGATGGAGAAGTTGGTGATGGCCGCTGCCCACTCTGGGCACAATCTTTTCCGTTCCTTGAAGCAAAAGCAGTCAAGAACTTCTCATTCCTTCCTCCTTTCGCCGGTGCCAGTGTGATGGAATCCTGTCTGCAAGCATGATCATCTGGAAACCTGTGTTTCAGACAAACCTTCAATTGGCAAGTCTTGCAAACGATTGAATTAGAGAATGTCAATGTCTCTTTACACCTCCGAACAGGGCAAGTCGGTTTCTTCGTCTTCCTTGGATCACAATTCCCTGACTGCTTATGCTTCTCCAACATTATCTTCACCTCCTCCTCCTCTTTCCCTGCTTTCTCAATTGAGGTCGAACAGGTTTCACAAACAATTACCTTCCTGCTCTTATGATCCGATTTCGGACACTCATGAGACTTATATGACCTATGCTCCAAACAAAACACCTACATATATTTTTCCATTACAAAGTTAAAACAAACATAAAAAAAACGTACTCTCTTTTCCTAACGCAATCAGGATTCGACTTCATAGATTCAAACAAGTTCCATTTGATTCACATGACGATTTTTTTCATTACAAAGTTGAAGCCAAAATTAGAAAAGCATAACCCTTTTTTCCTAATACATTCCGAATTCAATTTTTTTTAATCAAACACTATTTGATTCATATGAAAAACATAACCCTCTTTTCCTAATGTAATCAAGAATCGATTTTCTTTAATCAGACTGTTCTATTTGATTCATATAAATAGAATTACAAAAAAAAAAAAAGAAGAAAAAAACAACAATAAAAGTATATGTACCTTGTGACAACCTTCGCATTTGAAAGGAAGAAAATCCAATTGACGACAATCTGAATGTTGGCAGTGTTTTCCCAAATCAGGAAAAGCTTCAGTTCCGCCGGCCATGATTAATTTCAACAAAGATTATTAGAGTTTTGAATGTTTGGAGACATACAGGAGGGGGAGGTTTCTTATATATAAAGCTTGCCTGGTGGTCTAGGCCAATTCCTGCATGAATATGAATTCCGTGTTGAATAGTGCTTTATAGTTGGTTGGAAACTTCCAGGGCAAATACCGGTGTAGGCTTATTATCTATATTTCTACAGGTCGTAAACTGTCCAATTAGAAAATGCCACGTCACCCCGGGAAAAAAGGATTGAACCATGATTACACAAGTACTTCGGTGGTTGAATTGGGGGTGGTTGAATTGGGGTCAACGTGAAGTTATTAGGAGACCCCATATCAACCTATTTTTCGGAAACGATATTAAAAAATTATCATATACATTTTTTTTGTTATATTAATTTTTATTTTTTAATATAGTCAATAAAAATATGTGATAACCTCTAATCTCGTTGGACGGTGAAGAGGATGATTTTTTTTAAAAAAATTTTATATATATTTTAAAATTTTTTCAATTATTAATGATAAAGATCCAATAATAATTGGATTTAATCACTCCCAGATAAAATTTTAATGACCTTATCGAATCAAATAAATTAAAGGGTGATGATTCATTAGCATATTAATTAGGCAAAGTTTTACCAAATTTCATGCTTTATCCTCATTAATTTTTAATGGGGATTAATTTAGGAGGAGAAAAAAAAATCATTTGTCTCTAATTAACTTCAATTACTGAAAAAAAAAATAAAGATTAAGGAAAAAGTGCATTTTCTTTATGTCAAGTCTTGCTAATACTTTTTAGATATTGGTTAACTATCATTAGAATTCTAAGTTTGACATTTTGGTTTCTCTGTCTTTTAATTGCCTTTTAAGCCATCAATTAGTTTCCTTTTGTTTTCTTTTCATCTTTTTGATTCTAGTTACCATTGGGTAAGAGGAGTCTTCATCATCTTTTCTTTCTTATATTGGGATGGAAATTAGGGTTTTTGAACTCAAACCTAAACCTTATAACATATCACAACTTTTTTTTAATCAATCGATCAAGAGTTTGTTGGCAAGTTGTATCATTCTTTGACTTATATACAAGCAAAAGGGTGAATGATGCCAGCCAATTTGTAAAGCCAGGGAACTCCACTTTTATAAAAGTATATATTGTTGAATGATTTATAATAACAGTAAGATACAATCTTTATTTGGAGATGAATTACTAATAATCCAAAACCAAATGTCCAATCTATTAGTATCAATATCATTGGGCACTTGCTTGTGCTGATTTTGGACACCTGGCCCTTTTCATGATAAAGATAGCATAAAATAAAAGCAAATTTTCATAAAATAAGTTTGGGTTTTTTGAATTGGAAAAAGATAAACATTCTAAAGTGAATATTGACCCATCAAGGATCGGAAAAAGTAGTAAAAGATGAATGTTGGGTATATTAGTATTTAGGTTCGAATTTTTTATGGTATTTCGTTGATAGGTAATTTATAAGTTCGAAAATTTATAAATGAAAATTTATAATTGGATCGACGGTTTATCTTAATTTTAAAAATGAGATAATCTTCCTTACTCTTAACTTTTTTAAATAAAAAAAAGATGGACCATGTTTCATAATGATAAATATCGAAAAGAAATCATAAAGCTAGGGCATAAAATCTCATAATGTATATACTCTGAGCAACAAAACATGTAATGTGAAACGGAGAAAAATATGAAAGAAAACAAATTCCTCTTAAATGAATGGGATTGGTATGGCGAATGAGCTTTAATGAACACTTTGATAAAGAAAGAAAGAGAAATAATCCAGCCTAGAACACTTAAAAAGTCAAAATCACTGTTCCAATTATGCAAAAACTTAGCAATTAAGAATTCAATAATAATTTAGTTATGTTCTGTCTATCAGCTCCATGCAAAGTTAAAGTGGTAGCCTTTTGGAATTTATTGAACTGAGACTGAAGCAGCACCATGGGTTGTCTCATAAACAACCAATCTTTCTTTTGAAGATGAACAATGGAAATAATTTCATTTGTGCATATTGGCAAAAGGGGCTTGTTGATTAACTAATGGAATAAAGCCATGTTTAAGCCAGATAAAGTGTATTTTTTTTTATCATTATACTGAGAATTTGACAGCAAATAAAGCTGTGAAGATTGTTGTGTGCTTCAATAGCATTAACAATTGCTTCAACAGATTTGAGAAGTGATGATTCTTGATTTACTAAAGCAGTATGGGAGGATAACAACTTGGCTTGACAAGCTTTGTTGTTAGCTTCTGACAGGTTAATTAATAAACAAAGAATGTATAAATACATATTTGCCTTTACATAAAGATGAAAATTATGGTTTTTTTTTTTTTATAATTTCGAGAAGAGGATTCCAAATTACATGCATTTGCCATTGAACCATGTTCTTGAGTTAAAAAAAAAAAAGATTATGTTAATGATCTAGAAAGCAAAATATAACAATCCTATAAACTTTTTATAAATATAAATGAATCAGTTGTACTAAAATTAATGATATAAAGTGCAAAATATTGCAATCTTAGAATTTTTTTTTAAAATTGATGATGTCAAATTCAAGTTTCAATAGTAATCTAAAAAAACCTCTTCTCAAATATAACTACAAAAGTTTTACAAAAACAGTTGTACTCTTGATCTTGAATAACTAGATAGAAACAAAAAAAAAAAAAAAAGTTGATAAATCATATTAAAAAAAGAAGATAACTCAAAATTAATGGATAAATGTAAATCCCTATACATCCAACAAGTTTGGCAACCATTGTTTCAGGCTTAGCTCTAACTTCTGAAGTACCAAAAAATTGCAATCTAGAAAAAAAGAAAATTGACCAAAAGAACAAAAGAAATTAGTCAGTAACTGCTCCAAAAGAATAAACGTTACCAACTGATGTGATGTTTCCGCGTCAGATAATTAATGCTTCATTAATAATAATCCATGATTAATTGTCTGTTCATCTATTATCATACGCTAGCACGTAGGAAAAGAAACTATTTGAACCCTGTGATCCGTCGGTAAAATATTAAAATTTTAATTTTAATAATTTTATAAAAAAATCTACAATTGAAAAAGACTGACTAATATAAAATTAGTAAATTATCTAAAAAGAAAAAGTAAGGGATCAAAGTTAAAGAAAGTTCAAACTTGAAAGCAAGTAAAAAGGGTAGCAGTATGGAGTCTAGAGTTTGAGAAGTTACTTATAGCAACTTTTTCTTCTCTATCATTGGCCTGAATTCAAGGAACGAGAGAAGGAATCCGAATCCTAACAGGCAACTGCAACCTCTCCGCTCTACTCTCTCTCTCTCTCTCATTTGGTTTCAGAATAGGACTTGGTCTATAGTAACACGTTCCTTAACTCTCTCCTCGTGATTCTGTCTTCCTGATCTGCATTGGAGGAACTTACTTGATCCCTTTTAGTCCCCTGAATTTTGTTCAACAACAAAACTTGGATTCTTTGGTTTCCTGTTTTTTCACCTCCCTGAAATCCTGGAGTCTCAGCAACGTCTCTTAATGTTTCTCATTGATACGTTGATACAAGGTTTAAAGTTTCATTGAGATTTGGGAAAGTGTTGGGCTTTCAGGGAAAAGATTCGACATGGAGTTCCAGGAAGCTTTGATGAAGTTAATGGCTCATAAAACACCAACTCATCATAAAGATTTTTTTCAAGTTTCAGCGAACGAAAAAGAGAAAGTTACAAACGGTGCAGTTACCAAACAAAAATGGAGGATTTCATTTCACAGGTCATCATCAGCTAACGTTTCGAAGACATCTCAGGCTCAACCAAAGCAAACTCCCAAAGAATTTTCTTGTCCAATTTCAGGGTCTTTAATGGCTGACCCGGTTATAGTTCCCTCAGGTCACACCTTTGACCGAGCCTGTGTTGAAGCCTGTAAATCCTTCGAGTTTACACCAAATCTCCAGGATGGTTCCATCCCTGATTTCTCCACTATTATTCCTAATCTGGCCCTTCAATCCACCATTCTCAACTGGTGTCAAAATCATTCCTTAAACCCTCCAAAACCCCTGGAATTTTCCACAGCTGAGAAAATTGTCCGTACATTAATGGCAAGTAATCCAAATACCCAGATTGCAAAAGAAGAAAAAAAGGTGTCCACTTCAGGGGAAGAGTTGATTCAAGGGGTTGAAGATAGTCCTTCCGTGAAATTGGATCATGCAGTCACTGAGTTAACTCGGAGGCCAACTCACTTCCACTCAAGCTCGGAGGAATCTGTTGCTGCCGCTGCCGCCGCCGCCACCACCACCACCACCACCAATGTTGTAACACCACGATCGCAACTCGCGACTTGTCCGAGTTGCTACTCATCCGCTTCATCCTCCTCCGAAATCGTAACCTTAAACCCTAACACTAACGAAGAAGAAGAGTTTTTTCTTACAAAACTGAACAGCCCTCAAGTTTTCGACGTTGAAGAAGCACTGGTAGCATTAAGGAAGATCACAAGAACCCAAGAGAGTTCCAGGGTTGTTCTTTGCACGCCACGTGTACTTTCAGCTTTCAGGTCTTTGATTACTTCCAGGTACTTTAACATTCAAGTGAACTCAGTTGCAGTTTTGGTGAATTTGTCGTTAGAAAAAGTCAATAAGGTTAAGATTGTACGATCAGGATTGGTTCCCGTTTTGATTGATGTGTTGAAGGGAGGATCCCCTGAGGCGCAGGAGCATGCTTGTGGTGCACTCTTCAGCTTAGCTCTAGATGATGATAATCGGACCGCCATTGGAGTTTTGGGAGCTTTGCAACCACTCGTGCACATGCTTAGATCAGGGACCGAGGGGACTCGGCATGACTCGGCCTTGGCACTTTATCATCTCTCACTCGTTCAGAGTAATAGGATTAAATTGGTTAAAATTGGATCGGTTCCGGTTTTGTTAAATATGGTTAAATCGGGTCACATGACGGGTCGGATATTGCTTATACTAAGTAACTTGGCTTCGGGTCCAGACGGGCGGTACGCGGTGTTGGATTCGGGTGGGGTCGAGTGTTTAGTGAGTTTGTTGAGGGGGAGTAAGTTGGATGAGTCGACTCGGGATGGTTGTGTGGCGGTTTTGTATGGACTGAGTCATGGGGGGTTAAGGTTTAAGGGATTGGCGAAGGCAGCTGGAGCGGTGGAGGAGTTGTTGAAGGTGGAGAGGACGGGGAGCAAGCCAGCGAGGGAGAAGGCCAGGAAGATGTTGGAGATATTGAAAGGGAAGAGTGAAGAGGAGGAGGAGGAAAAGGATGTGGACTGGGAGGCTTTGCTTGAGTTGGGGTTGAGTCACAGCCGTTTTCGACTCGGCGGAGGAAAGACCAGGTCATGTGTGAACTCATCCGTGTTTTGAGTTTTTTTTTTTTTTTTTTTGGGCTTGTAATTACTGGTGAATTTTTTTCATTTATAGAGATTTTTCTTGCTTTTTTCCCTTGCTTTTTTCAATAAAATTTCCTCTCAAAAACTAATGTGGGTGGTGATAAAGGTGTAAATAAATGAAGGAAAATGTTTGTGAAGAAGAATTGATTCTGGAAAAAAAGGAAGGCAAACTCTTTTTCTTAGCTGGATGGTATTTTTCATACCAATTTCTCGAAATGAATTTCAAATCGATCCGGGTCAAATTGAAACCCAACAAGTTCGCCTCCCTAAGGCCATAGTGGCACATGATCGTAACCACACAGAATGTCTTATGCTTAGCTGAACCCAAGTAAATGAGCAGGCTTTTGTTGTTGACTGAAAGATGAGGCAGCCTGGTGGGCTTTTTTATTGGGACATAGCCATATTGGGCTGAGGTTTTGGGTAAAAAAACATTATTTGGGCTGATGACTGGTGAGTTGAGTAGCAAAATCTGTCACTCAGCAATTATGTTGACCCATGAATAAAAGAACAATCAGCTTTAGCACAAAGCAAGGGAACCAAAACCAAACCGAAAGAGTGAAAAAGCCTACCATGATATCCAAGCATTAGCAAAAGATAAAAAGGTGAATCATGCATCCAAAAGTGCAGTCATGGCAGTATGCTAACGTACCTTGAAATTTAATATTTGCTTAGTCCTTTTCTTTGGTTTTTCAATTCATAACTTCCAGCTTTGTAACGTCAAAGAAATGAGTGAAATTGACCACAAGTGAATCAGTAATGCTTTTGACTGGATGAAATTCCTTCATTCCATTTTTACTGGGTACATTTGGCCCCTTTTTAACTAAGGTGAGAAAAGCAACAAGCAGTAAAAATATTTAAGCCTGTGCTTTCCATGTCTTCAAGCACAAATGGTTTGAGGTTGTGGGGCTGATAAACAATAAATATGTCTGGAAATGGTCTGAGCTTAGACATTTTGGAACACCGAGTAATGACTATTTACTGTAGCCCTTCAAAATCAACAACATGAAAGAAAAAAATATCGTCGGCAAGTCTATAATAGCCACTAGCATCAAAAGAATTGCAGCTAGTTTTCTTTCTTTCTAGGGGACAAAGTTGTCAGGTGAGTAGTAGTGCTAATTGGTTGTGGTGCAGGGCCATTTGTCATGTTCGGCATCTTCTGTATGGTTTCATTTCAATACATTGCAAAGATCTGAGAAGGGTTTCTCATAACAGTGAAAGGGAATTGACACATTCCGAATCAACATATGTAGCTGTTAGAAAAATGGGGTCCAGTCTTATATAAGTGATTTTGGATCAAGTAAAGATCATAAGCTTTGATTTTTTATTTTACACAGAGCCTTAACTACTTAATAAAAAAGAGGTGAGATTATTTAAGGTGTGTGTCGACAATCAAGCAGAAAAAGAAGAAAAGCAAGGAAAAGTAAAGAGAGAAAAAGGAGAAGGGAGAGTTAGTTAAACGGAAGTCGATCCGTGGTCCAATTGAGTTGGAACCTTGTCAGGAGGTTTATGATTCAGAGTTATACATTCTGAACGGTGAAGATTGAGTTTGAAGCTCTCTAGGAACAAATCCAGGGTGTATTTGTTGAGTCACTTATTTGGTGAAATTTCTCTAATTGTTTCTCTAGTTGTTGATTAGCTCTAGTTTTAGCTAGAGAAGAACTTTGTATAACTATTATTTGATAGTGAAGATTTTTCTGGTGGCCCATGGTTTTTCCCTCTACACTGGAGGGTTTTCCACGTAAATCTTGGTGTGCTTTATTTTTTTTGCGCATTTGATTATTGATTATTGTCTATTGCTTCTGTATTATTGTGATTATTGCTTCAGGCGCAACAAGTGGTATTAGAGCGAGAGTTATTTTGAGACATTGATACAGAAGCAACTCAGGATAGAAGTAAATTCTGTTTGAGATCATGGAGGGTGATACAGGTTTCATGATAAAATTGACAGCATCAAATTATTCAATTTGGAAGCCTATGATGGAGGATCATCTATACTGTAAAGATTTGTATGAGCCAGTATTGGGTGATTCGGCTAAACCAGCAGATATGAAAGATAAAAGCTGGAAGAAACTAGGTAGAAAGACACTGGCTACAATCAAAAAATGGGTTGATATCAGCGTGTTCCATCATGTAGCGCAGGAATCAGATGCTCACATTGTTTGAGAAAAATGACAGCATTGTATGAGAGAAAAACAGGTATGAATAAAGTTATGCTTGTTAAAAAGATTACAACTTGTAAGTCTAAACATAGATCTAAGTCTAGAGGTAAAGTGAAGTGTTTCCATTGTGGTAAGGCGGGTCATATAAAACGAAATTGTAGAATCTTGAAGCAAGAGCGAAAAGATGAGAAAGGCAAGAGTTCAGATGATGGCAATGTTGCAGTAGTGAATTCAGATAGTGATTCAGTTACTTTGATTTGTACACATGGTGATTGTAATCATGTTAATGATCCTGACATTGAGTGGATAGTTGACACAGGAGCGGTATATTATTGTGTTCTTAAGAGAGAGTTGTTTACAACTTACAAAGCAGGAGACTTTGGTTGTACCAAGATGGGAAACAAAAGTGTGTCACAGATTATTGGGATTGGTGATATTGTTGCACAAACTAGTACAATCTGCATGTTGACTTTGAGGGATGTCAAACACATTCTAGATATGAGAATGAACTTGCTTGCTATTAATGTCCTTGATAAGGAGGGATATGAAAGCGACAAAAGAATGGACAGTGGAAGCTCTCAAAGGATCTATGGTAGTTGCAAGAGAAAAACTATGCTGCACAATATATAAGACATGGATGCAATTGAACGGTAACCAGGTAAATACCGTTGAAAATGATGCTTCAGCAAACTTGTGGCACAGGAGGCTGGCACACATGAGTGAAAAAGGGTTACAGGTTTTGGCAAGACAGTCTCTCATTCTCTTGACCAAAGGTATGTCTCTCGATTCATGTGATTATTGTTTGTTTGGTAAGCATCATAGAGTTTCTTTTCGTAAAAGTTCTCAGAGAAAAGAAAATAGATTGGAATTAATTTATTCTGACGTATGTGGTCCCATTGAGGTTGAGTCATTAGGTGGTAGCAGATATTTTATTATTTTTATTGATGATGCTTCACGTAAGACTTGGGTGTATATGTTGAAATACAAAAGTCAGGTACTGTAATATTTTTAAAAATTTCATGCCATGGTTGAAAGGATGACAGGGTTACCCTTGAAGTGTATTCGAACTGATAATGATGGGAAATACACATCTAAAGGCTTTGAAGAGTATTGCTCAAAGCATGGGATCAGGCATGAGAGGACAGAACCTGGAACACCGTAGCATAATGGTATAGCTGAAAGAATGAATCGCACCATTGTGGAAAAAGTCAGATATATGTTGAGGATGGTAAAATTACCAAAGCCATTCTGGGGTGAAGCAGTCAACACAGCTTGTTATTTACTTAACAGGTCACCATCAGTTCCTTTGGGCTTTGACATTCCAGAAAGAGTGTGGACAGGAAAAAATACTTCATACTCTCACTTGAAAGTTTTTGGGTGTAAAGCATTCATGCATGTACCAAAAGAGCAGAGGTCAAAGCTTGATAGTAAAGCTACACAGTGTGTGTTTGTAGGATATGGTGATGAGGAATTTGGCTACAGGGTATGGGATCCAATAAAGAGAAAGACAGTCAGAAGCAGAGATGTGATCTTTCATGAAAAAAAAACCATAGTAGACCTTGAGAAAAATGAGAAGACTACACGAGTTACTGTTGAGTATGATGTTTCAACACCGACAGGAATTTCACAAGAAAGAGCCACAGATAGTGAAAATGAGCCAGAAACAGAACTTGAGGATATGAATGAACCAGCCATAGTTGGTGATGAGCCAGATGCTATTAGTTTTGAGCAGGGGGAGCAATCCTTTCTACCTAAGAGTGTTGAACAGGGGGAGCTACCTTCAGCATCAAATGATGTAGAGTCTCAGCCCAGGAGATCTATTAGAGAGCGCAGGCCATCTACCAGGTATCCAAGTTCAGATTTTATTTTAGTTACCAGTGAAGGAGAGCCAGAAAGCTTTCAAGATGTGCAGGCTACTCGGGATAGAGAGCACTGGTTAAAAGCAATGAAAGAAGAGATGGAGTCATTGCGAAAGAATGATACTTATGATCTTGTTAAGCTTCTCAGGGAAAAGCTTGAGCTTTATAGTAACTTGGCCGGAATGAGTTCCCTGGCCAAGGTAAGTTCCAAATGAAACTGCTATGGTGATGAATCTCCTCCTAATGGGGCTGGAGGGGGAGATTGTTAGAAAAATGAGATCCAGTCCCATATAAGTGGTTTTGGACCAAGTAAAGGCCATGGGCCTTGATCTTTTATTTTACACAGAGCCCTAGCTACTTAATAAAAAAGAGGTGGGATTGTTTAAGGTGTGTGTCGACAACCAAGCAGAAAAAGAAGAAAAGCCAAGAAAAGCAGAGAGAGAAAAAGGAGAAGGGAGAGTTGGTTAAACGGAAGTCGATCCGTGGTCCAATTGAGTTGGAACCTTGTCAGGAGGTTTATGATTCAGAGTTATACATTCTGAATGGTGAAGATCGGGTTTGAAGCTCTCTAGGAACAAATCCAGGGTGTATTTGTTGAGTCACTTATTTAGTGAGATTTCTCCAATTGTTTCTCTAGTTGTTGATTAGCTCTAGTTTTAGCTAGAGAAAAACTTTGTATAACTATTATTTGATAGTGAAGATTTTTCTGGTGGCCCGTGGTTTTTCCCTCTACACTGGAGGGTTTTTCACGTAAATCTTGGTGTGCTTTATTTTTCTTGCGTATTTGATTATTGATTGTTGTCTATTGCTTCTGTATTGTTGTGATTATTGCTTCAGGCGCAACAATAGCTAGGAAGTTGAATTTTTCCAAGGCTTGGAAAGGAAACAGTTCAAGCATTCAAAATGAATTTTTCCTATGGGAAAGAGAAACAAACGAAGAAACATATATTAATATCAGTTCTTTCCCAATATATTGTGTTCCTTAATGCTGTTGGGATGGTGGTTGCTGTTAGCATTCTGAAATAATTGGGGTCATGGAGTGATGGTAAAAAGGCAGTTCAATTCATGACATGGAAGCACAAGCTTTGAAGACAAGGACTGATAAGCGTAATGGTCAGGTTCATGCATAGCTGGCAGTTTCAAATTTCAATGAAGTTCCAATCATCCGAATGGTTTTCAAACTCAAGTAAAAAACCACAGCTGCATCCAAATCATGTTGCTTTCTAGGAAATGGTTTCTTTCTTTGGCTGTTAAATTCTGGGAAATACAGGGAAGTATAGCAAAATTTTCAACTCTGCATTTCAAAAGCCAATAACCCCACATGGAAGCAGGTGGAAACAGTGTGATTACTCAGGTTGAGAACTAGATTAAGTGCATGGATAAAGGCATCATCTGATATAAAATAAGACTCACCATTAACATTTCATTTCCAAAACCCTCAAAAAAAGGCATCTTTCTAGCTAGTTTCATGATTATTATACGTATATCCCCCTCCTTCAATTCATCAACATCTCCCCATGTTTCCAGGTTCACAATCACCTAAATTAAGTTTCTTATTAAACTATACAAAAACTTGAAGATCGGCTCCTCATTGACAAAAGTAAAACAGAATCAGGTAAATCCTGGACCACCAACACTGAAGAACGAGAAAAAAGGATTGGAACTTTGAAACCCAGAACACAGAATAAGAATAAATATGTATAAATTTAACCTGAAGTGACAATTGATACAAGACAAGTATACATCTTTTCAAAAGATCTTCAGAACCCCAGAAAGAATTCAGTAAAAAGAAACCAAAGTTAACCACCTCAGATAATAATAACAGCTCAAAAACTCAGTTAACAGCATCACACCTGCGCCTAATCTCTCCTTTCCTCCCAATCTTGATCCCGTAAACACTGAGCTTCTGCAAAGCTCTAGCAAAATCTTGAAAGAACTTGTTCTGATCCTTTGCATACAATTCCACAAAAGGCTTTGTTCTAGGATCATTATACAACCCATGATCTGATTTCAAAACCCCCAAACCCTTTGGTAAATTCTGAAAATACAAGTTATCAAACTTGTTGGGAGTCATAATATCATTAAAAACAGATAAAGTTGGGTTATTTGGATAATCTGAACACGCTTGTTTCAATGCTTGAGCAAACCTTGGATTGTATTGGGTATCATTGCCAACATTTGAGCTAAACTCTTTGCAATGAGAAAACCCAATTGTGTGTGCACCACTTAAGGCCACCATTTCTTGAATACTGAACCCTCTTGCAGCAAAAAGATCGATAATTTGTGACATATCCATATTGGGTTTAGGCAGTTGCCCTTCTATTGTAGAAGCTTGAGAAAATCTTGAATCTTTACGTCCGAGATAGACATTATAATACGGGCCACCAACCATAGTCACAAGGTCACGGGCAGCGACAGCAATGATATCAGCGCAAGAGACTGTGTTAGGACAGGAGAGTTCCAGGGCTGTCTTGGCACGTACAATGAGGTCAAAGGGATCTCCAGGGAGAGAAAGGTTGATGTCGGCGTCGCGTTCAGCTTTGTTGAATGCCGTAGAGGTGATGAGAATGGAACCGTCACATCCGTTAGAGAGACAATCATGGAAGAAGAGGCGAAGTGTTCCTGCAGCTGTTGTGGGACTGGTGATTTGCTTGTTGGTTATGGTTTCTTGCATGATTTTGTTGAAACTTGGACAGGTTTTGGAGTAGTAATCTAAGCTTAACCTTGATTCACAAAGCAATGCGGTGGAGGTTAGTAAGATGAGGACAACCAGCAGCGACGGCGGCGACAGCGGTGGTAATGACGGTGCCATTGGCTGACCTTAGTTAGGCGGAGCCGAGCTTTGAGGAAGAGAGAGAGAAGCAAGGAGCTGCTTTTAGCTTTGAGCTGGAAACAGGGCAAAAGGAAACTTGGGTAGATAAGAAAATATCGGACAAGATATTTTAACTGCTGTTATTTTTGCTGTTTTACTGTTTTACTGAATTAAGTAATCCACTAATCACGGGATGTATGCCGGAGGGGGGGGGGGGAGGGGTCCACTTAGTTTTATGCGTGTGATGAAATCTCAGCCGTTGATAAATGGGTATTATAGTTAAAGGGTAATTAAAAAAAGTTTTTTTTTTAGAAAAATAAAAATATGCAAATAAGACATAATTTATGAGATCAAAAGAAAGAGTAGATTTACTTATAATTATGATATAATAAATTAATTAAGCTTAAATTCACTTTTATTAAAAATTTAAAAAAATTAAATTAATTGAGCTATTTGAATTTAACTTTGTTAAACATGAATAATAATCATCATCGACTTAAGACAAATCTTCGGAATTTAGCTTGTATTTGAGTTATTAGTTGATAAAAATTTGTATCCGATTTTAAAAATATTATCTATTTTGATTTAAAATTTATATAATTTTATATTATAAAAAATATTTTATAAATTTAAATTTAAATTTTTATTTATATATTATAATAAAATTTTATAATATTTCGGGAAGAAATTGAAGTATGATAACCAAAACTTGTACCACGTTCATTGAATTGTACTTATGTCTCGTATGAATGAAAAATCAAGACTTTGATGTTAAAATTTACTTGCACCATATACTTTGAAAGAGGAAAATCAAATTGTTTTATTTATGTGGTTAGGGTAGATTGATCTTATAGCTTTAGGGGATATGAAAATGAAATAGTGTTATGGAATTGGAGTATGGTGGGGTTGTGGGCCAGCAGTGACCATCAAACGGTTATCATTCAACTGGATTTTGTATAGATTTTTGTGATTTTGGATTGAAAGAAATTAAGGAAACAAAATCATTTTGATTCTCCATAAAAGAAATGAAGAAACCAAAAGAAAGTGTGGGAAAAGAGGTGAAAGGAGGCAGCAAAGCAACGGTGTATCTTTGGTCGATCACATGAAGGATCATGGTTTGGCCACCAGCAATTTGTTGTTTTTGTTTCCTTCGAGTCAAGAGTTCTTTGTTTAGTGTCTCAGGAGGATTCATCATCTTTTCTCATATAAAAAAAAATGAAAAGAAAAACCCAAGTTTTTAATTATCCTTCACAATCATATTTTTTGATTTTTAATTATAGATCAAAATAAATTAAATTATTTGAATTCGATCCGAATGATGAGTCGATATCAAATATAAATTAAGTTTTATCTTTGTTTATCAATTAAATTTAAAAATATGTATAAATTTTATTAATATTAACAAACGTTTTAAGAACGAAGCTAAATTTTATATGAAACTCAAAATTAATTTGAATTTGATTAAATGAGTATATATACATTTCTTCAAATAATTAAGATGCATAACACCTAGAGTAGGTTCCTTGCCATGAACTTGAGTTACATATGTGATTACTTGGAGAATAGCTAAAGATGTTAAAATGAACTTTGAAGTAGAAAATTCGTTAAAAAAAGTTTAGATTCAGACTTATTTGAATTCGATTTGATAGAAAAAAAATTAAAAACTTGAATTAAAGACAAGTTGAACTTAAAAATTTTAAATTCGAAATGATTGGAACAAAATTCAAATCAAAACTCAATTTAAATTTTGAAAAAATCATGTACTGTCCTTCCTGTGTTCTTTGCTGATTGCTTCCCTGGTCTTGTGAAAGATACAAAGGAAATTTCCATTTCCTGGAAAATAAATTCCCATCTCCAAGAAAAGCTGTCTCTCAAATTCTCAATATCTTCACCTACATTTTTCCTTTTCAACTAATTCAATGCCAGATTGTACCATCAAGTTGAAAAATTAAAAATATGCATGGGTCTTAGGAGGGAGAAAATAAAGATCAAAATTCCAAAAATTCCATTGTCATTTTGACCATAAAATCAACAAAGATTAGGTAACATTTTTTTTGTAAGGGTTGTTTTCTATTGCATGTGCTTGTTGGTCCCAATGAAAGCTCATTGGCATTCTGCCATTCAAACACAGCTATTTATTGCCAAGAGGATGACCCCACCTGTTACAATGTATCACCATTGATTCTGTTGGCATCTTCATCAGGTAAAGCTAGTGATGAGATGATAAGATTTTTTTGTTGTTTCCAAGTTTAGGTAATAATAATAGATGTGTTGATGTGAAGGATTATATAACAGCTTTCAATCATTTCTTTTTAAACAAAGTTTAAAGATTTTTTAATCTATTTTTTTTTTTTAAATTTGTTATATTTATTTATTCAATCAATAAGATTAATTTTCACGATCGACAAGTTAATACATTCTTGATCATCACATCACCATAAGAGGAGATCAACATCTAAATTCTTCGATACGAAAGTGGGTTCGCTCTTGTCAAAGAAAAATCATCTAACTAATTTTATTAACATCTCATCGAGACATCACTTTACAACAAATCAATTGATTTTTAATTATTTAAGATTATTAAATGCAATTTACATTCACTTATATGATTTTTTGGAGCTTCATGGAAAATTATTATCAACTATTAATTGTGCTTGTCACATCATCATCCTTACCTTATATATAAGATATAAAGGAGGCTTAAATATAGATCTAATAATCTCAAATATAACATGGTGATATGATATCAAAATTATTAAAATAAAAGATACAAAAATGACATAGTTTAAAATTTTAACAAAAATTATAAATTAATTTAATAAAATAAAAAATATATATTTTATGTTTTCGCGTCGACACAATCAATGTGATATTATTTTTATATAAAACATAACATGATTATTCGAATTATCAATATTTTTAAAGATACACGAATTATCAAATCTATATAAATATAATATGAACTAAGAATCCTTTTCCCTTAAACTAATTGCATATTCTTTGCAATTTCCCTTCTCCCTCACCAATACCTTAAATATTTGACTGATTTAAGCGTTAAAGTACGTTATGAAAAACCAACTTCAATGCCTCTTGACATGCTTTTCTACTGCAGGTTCAAACCATTCTTTGCGCAAGCTCCAGATCACTGCTCATTTTATCAACACCTAATACACCATCAACAAAATCCATAGATTAGATTAAGATGGATAGAAAACCAACAAAAGAAAAAAAGAGGTGGAATAAAGGTCAATATGCCTTTGGATCCTGACTAATCCTGAAACAAGAATACCCAAGAGAAACAAAGCTGTGAAAACTGTATACAGGTGATATTTACAATTTTCTATGAAATCAGTCAATGGTGAATTGTGGTAAAGGTTCTATAATCTTCTCATACTCTTTTCGCCATTGCATAAAGCTGCTGTCTTTCGAGAAAATTTCTGAAGATGCTGAAGACTTCTTGATTTGTTCCATAGCATAGATCTCAAAATTCATTAGGTTCTGTCTCGACGACTCTTTTTCTGTGATGACACAAGCACCTGAATTTTCCAGTGATTTGCAGCATATCCTAGCCTCTTCTACATGTGCCCAAAAGCAAGAATCATCTGTTAAGAGTAACATCCACATTTTTTTTCTTCTTGATTTTCATAGTAAAGCCACTTTTTTTTTTTTCAACTTCCTTCAGCCACTGCTCCGGCTTGATGTAATGATTACATAGTTCTTTTGGCCAATCCTGTAGTAATCAGCTATATCAAGTGGCTCAATCATTCTTCTATAATATTCTTTTCTCTGATTTGATTTGGTTTCTCAGTTTTAGCCAAAGCTAGTTGATCGCAGCCCTCCCTCAAGTCCACAAGAAAAAAAACAAACCATAACTACATTTCTTTTTGAATCTAATACTTCCTACATTTCAAATGTATGTCATTTTTTTTTTCAGTTTGTTTTGATTCTTTGTTTAATCTAAAAATTATCCGACCAGAAAAGACAGAAAAAAAAAGCTTGAGCTTTTTATGTTAAAAAGAAAAAAAGGCCTAAGCTATAGAGTTGATTGGGTTGGCTTGGATTCTATGTTTGGGCCTCACATAGTTAGTTTTAAAAGAAATAGGGCTAAGACATATGCCTCACATCACTAGTTTTTGGGCAACAAGTTCAAAAGATTGTTGCATAATAGCCTTGTTATTGTGCGCTTAAAAAAAAAAAAAAACCTACATTTTTTCTATTTAAATATTGGTTTAATATAACTTGTTTAATGATGGAAAAAAAAATACCTTGTTTAATTTGATAATTCTCATTATTTTTCTTCAGTACTTTAATTTCTTATTGTTAGAGTTTGTTTTTAATACAATTTTAGTGAAGTTTTTTAATTTCATAAACGAAATTAAAAGACTAATACGTGTTTTTATTTTTTGAACATACCCTAAAAATGTGTCAACATGCTAATCTCGTTGTATGGAGTTTCTCTTTCGTGTTTAATATAATATTTTACTGTAAATTATATGATTTATATTAAATAAGAAGAGTGTTAATACATGAAGGGCAAATTGCAAACATGACACTAAACAGGTTTTATTAGCTGAAATACTGCAACGTAAATCACTCTAGAATAGGAAAAAATACTACGATAGGACACTCAAATCACCACTTTCAGGACAAAGAAAGAAATAGCAACACTAATGGCTTCAGCCAGCAATGCTGGAAATGATTCAAGGGCTTGGTGCAGCCCTAGGGGTCGGAGCAGGTGCCCAGCTAGAGGCTTCTGCTGCTGCAGAATTCATGGTTAACATTGAGGAGGCAAACCATAGAGTGAAATGTACAGCAGCCTCGTTGAAATCCGTGAGCTTTGCTGCCTTCTCAATGGAGCTGTAATATTTTTTATAATGCTACTGACTATCATCGTGTTAAATGTTCTGTGGTACTATACCTATTTATATACATTGATTTCTGTATTAATAGCAGCAAACTAACCTATCCTCGTTGCATAGAAGACATTCAGCATCTGACAATTAGGTGAAACCAATGAATATTTTCTTGTCTTTAAGCCATGAGGTCAAGCACAAGTAAGCCAGAAGGCATGAAACCAACAGAAAAAAAAAAAGAAAAACTTGTGACCATGGTTTTTTTAGCGTTTCCGTATGGGTAACAATAACAAGAAAAGCATAGCAGCTTGCTTTGTTGCTTTCTAATGGTTAAACAGGTGCCAGTTCCTTGTTTTTCTCCTCTTTGATTCCAGTTTCCGGTAAATTGGCACAGAACAGCCATTGACGCCAAAAACTTGGCCTATTTTTCACTACCACGATTTGAAATGAATGTGGCTCATTTGATTCCGGGAGCATATGATGATTCCCTCTTTATTTGCAATTGTGCCTTATGGGGATTCTGAGGTGCTTGAAAAATATCAATTTATAGCAAATTATATTTACTTGGAACTGAAATTTCCGTTAGCAACAACAAAGGGGAATTCACTATATATTATTATCTTTAATTAACATAATTAATAGCCTCTAGGAGTAGAAACGAAAACATCACAGGAAAACCATTAATTTTCTCCCATCTCTAAAAACTTATTACTGCATTCTTCTAGATAAAGCATATAGAAACATCAGGAATTGTCGTTTGGATTTGTTTTTCAAGGACACTTGGGCTTGTTACGGTGAGTTTTCATATCAGTGTAACACTTGCCACACATTTCTCTGTTGCCATATGTCCCAGGTGGAACACATTTGCATCTATCACAGCATGTGATGCATGCTCTCAAGCATATGTTAGTCCTTGAATGCAGTTTGCACCTTTGCCCACATAAAGGGATGCAATCTGCCCAACACGTTAGAAAATAAATGAATTTCCCGAAGTTATGGGAAGCAGATATTAGCTTTTACTATGGTAAGGGGAAAAGATAGTTTTTACCCTTTCTTGTCCTAACAGGTGGCAATGGTGGACTTGGTGGCTTGTAAGGGGGTGTAGGAGCTGGTGGAGGCTTGTAAGGGGGTGCTGGAGCTGTTGGTGGCTTGGTTGGAGGCACTGGAGTTGTTGGTGGCTTGTATGGCGGTGAGGGAGTTGGGGGTTTATATGGGGGAGTAGGGGCCTGGATTGGTGGTGCAGGAGTTGGGGGTTTATATGGGGGAGTAGGAGGCTTGACTGGGGGTGCAGGAGTTGGCGGTTTATAGGGGGGAGTGGGAGGCTTGACCGGAGGTGCAGGAGTTGGGGGCTTATAGGGGGGAGAGGGAGGCTTGACCGGAGGTGCAGGAGTTGGGGGCTTATAGGGGGGAGAGGGAGGCTTGACCGGAGGTGCAGGAGTTGGGGGCTTATAGGGGGGAGAGGGAGGCTTGACCGGAGGTGCAGGAGTCGGGGGTTTATAGGGGGGAGTGGAAGGCTTAACCGGAGGTGCAGGAGTTGGGGGTTTATAGGGGGGAGTGGGGGCCGTGACTGCGGGTACAGGAGTTGGAGCTTTGGATGGGGGTGCAGCGGTGGGTTCCTTCACTGGGACAGGAGTTGGTGCTGGTACTGCAACAACATATTTAATCTGCAGAGTAATATGCAACAATTTTAGTTTAACTATGAAAGCTGAATACCTCATCTAGAAGTTCTTGTTTGCAGAACAGAATCCTAGCCAAGGTTACTACTAAAGCAAAACTCCGGTATGTTCAGCAGATATATGATGAACTACACAAGTTCCTTTCTTAATATGATTTCTTTTTTTCTTTTGCTTGATACTGCCCATTAGTCCATTAGCAAAAGATTGTACAATGTACAACTTTTGGTGAATGCAAATGCAGTTTTTAAAATAAAGAAAGAAGGGTGTTAATGAATATTATCCAGTTAATGTAAACTTGACAAGACAAATACAAAAATGTTTAAAAAAATCACCTCAAGCTTCTCTTCTTCCTCATTAATGGATGCAACCTACAAAAACAAGAAGATATCTTTGAGTTAGATGACATTAACAACTAACAAGCTTGGGCTTGGGTGTAAAGAGAAGGTAAGTGGCCATATACACTTGTGGAAACTAGCAGAAGAGTGACCAATAGAAACAGCAGAGCTTTGGAAGCCATGGTGAGTGTGGGAAACAAGAAGGGTCAGAAAAAGTGGGAGAAACTTTGCTAGGTACTACTCAGTACTCACACCACTCTTGATGCCTCACTTGGAAACTGACTTGTGGTTTAAATAGAGTTTGGGGCGGTGAAGAAAAAGCTATATTTACTTGGTTCATAAATGTTGCTTGCCAGCTTCACCATATCACTGATGGCATTAGTTAAGGCTTACTGTCCAAAAATTCTTAAGGGTTAAACCCCACACTCCCCAAGGACTCTGTCTCACAAAGTGGTTTTTCTAATTTCCTCATAGGAGTCTGTTATCTATATGTACTTTATTAACCAGCAAACGAGGTCTGTCTTTTTGAGACTTGGGTCATAAGCAGCCAGCCTCCATGACTTAAAATATGGAAAGAAATCTAACCATCCTGGTTTGGTTGATTTGGTTGCTGTAAAATATGAAACAAATTGGAGTACCCTTTGACTTCAAAATAACATTTTGGATGAAGTGTGATAACAATTCAATTTGATTAGGATATTTTTCTCATATTTTATACGTGTACAGAGCCCATGTTGTCCCTTAAAAAGCTGGAATTTTTTAGCATAGCCTAGGTGTATGAAATTTTTTCACACTTCATGCTGCTAATCCTACGTGTTGTAGAAAGAAGAAATCGAGGTTAATGTATTAGACTTTGTAAATCTAGCAAGTTACTGTTTTTGGTTTTTCTTATGTTGGACTTGAGGACACTTTATGAGCTGAAAAGCTTCAAAAAGTGACTTATCGTAATCATTGTACCCTTGTCTTGATGGATCGTGGATGCTGTCTTTTACATGAAATGAAGCATGTTTTTTGCATTACAATCCAATTAAGCAGTTGTTTACTTTCACTATCAAATGTTTTAAACTGTTTCAGATTTTCAGAGTTTCCAACCAGTCCAAGCTTGAAAGCCTGTCATTACAACTGGACTGAATCTTCCCTCATCAGGCCAATTTAAAATTGACAAATAGTGCAATGCAAGTGGGATTATTTATTTTCTTCTTTACATGTGACATCACATGTCATGAAAAAATGGTCAGAATGGATAAGTTTGATTAGATTCATCAGATGGGCATGACCTAGGAAGATCATTCATCCCATCCTTCTCCAAAAAGGAAAGAGAAACAGAAACAAAAAAATGATAAATAAACAGAAAATTTTCATAGCATATTTCTCTTTGATCCAAAATCCAATAATTTTGGAATTTGTATGGAATGGTCATGTTGTACTGCAATTTGATGAAATTCTTCTAGAAAAGGACATCTCCTCTTTGTTATGGAGTAGACATTTGCTGCTGCAGCTGCATGAGATGCGACAATATATGTTTTACTTTAGGATGGTGATGGCATCCAATGCTTCTTTTTTCAGAGGCTGACCCTTAAACTCTAAAGGGATCAAAGAAATATCAATGAAACTTGTTTGGTTATGAGACAAAAATCTATCAAATCTTCATGGTTTAGGGCCCTTTTCTGAGAAGTTGCATGTGGATCCTAAGTTGATGTTGAGTCAAAAAATGTAATGACAAAGTTCTGAATGATTGGCTGCATAATTTTAATATCACTAAAGCAGTCAAGTATTTATGCATTTATGCATTTCTTTGTGTGGGCTCAAAACATCTACCATGAAGTTGCTGTGAGGCCTATCTTATCTGCCTTGTTAATGGCATCAGGCTTATTGCCATAAAAATTGACTTCCAAGCAATTATATGGAATGTTGAGTTAAACAAATTGAATCTCAAACTCAACAATGGTTACTTTAAGGCATGAAAATCAGACTAATAAAATTTTAAGTTCATCTTCATCACTGTTATCTTACTTCCAGTAAAATTGAGATTCTGAGTCAAAGCATCAATTTTAATCTAGCAATAATTATGTAATCTATTGATAAAATATTAAATTAAATGTGATTTATTGATAAAATATGAAAATTTTAATTTTAGTAATTAGATATCAAATTCTGATGATTTGGAATACTAAAAAAACCAGTTTTAATCCTAATATTGGCTTCCTGTAAAGGATAAATTACATGAAAGCAATACTTGCCCTTAAGTTGCAGCCATTGTTGGAATTGGATAAGAAGCTATCATACTAGTTTTTCTCATGCAATATATCAAAACAAGACTCTGGGGGTGACTCCTCTCTACAAAGAAAAAATATATTATCTGAAACAGTGGTAGGGTATGTATTTAGACCATGCTTTGGCCACTTATTGACAAGACATAAGACAAACGAGTACCGAAAACATCATTATACATGCCCATGGCCCAGATTGAGATCGAATCTACCAGTTTTTCCAGGTTTTACCCAAATCAATGTACCTGCATCTGAAGTATGAGCTGGTTTTTTAGGTCCCAGTTAAACAGTTGAACAGCTTGATATTGTAAGATTTTTTAAGTTAAAAGTTATTATTCATATCACAAGAAAAGGAAAAGGACATGCACTCCCCGAAAAATGAAAGAGCATGACATGGATTTCTTGCAAGTAACTCAAGGTTTGCACATATGATTTGTTGAGGTACAAAGCAGATAAAAAGTAACAACCTTGGCATTTGTTACTTCAGAATTGAAGAGGTTGATGCGATATTTTCACACGGCATATAAAGGTCGAAGGACAAAGCTAAAAGGTACAGCATAGTAGTACTGCAGCAGGCTCTTATTTTCAGAAAACTCCAGGGTCATCATTACTGGGCTAGTAGCTGCCAGCTAGAACTTTGCTGTGCTGCTTTCGTGTTGTTGTCAAGATCTTCATTCACTTCCATTAGAGTAGGTTCAATTATTTTCCTTGTCAAACTTTTTTTTTATTTGCCGTACAAAATTAAAAAAGGAGTTAGTACAAGGCATTTGGTCCGCCACTCTTCATGCTATTTAATATTTAACCACTGTCAACCGTTTTTAAATTTGAATGACCTGATTTAGTTTTGATAATCTCTAAATCAAGTTGCTTTGTTTTGTTTATATTTCCTAGAAAATTTTTTTTTCCAAATATTCAAACCCTAGAATCAGACAATTAACAATTGCAAAGTCAATGTACTTCCTCTACTTTGTTGTGTCAGAGATGTTTAATCCAGTAGGTAATGCAAGGTAGTGGGTCCTAGAGGTAAACAGTGACCCGAGAAATGGGTGGTATATGTAAATCCCAGGATGATGCAAGGGGCGAACTTCATATTTGCATGCTGTTAACAAGGTTGACTTGACTCTTGTATCTTGATGAATTCTTTACATTGAACAAATAAAACTTCATTTACGAGTAGTATAGTATTCACAGGAAGACCAGACACTTAAAATCCTTCCACCAAAGAAATATCTGCACAGCTCCATTTGACTCTATGAAGCTATTTGTATTGACACTCGTGAATGTAATGCAGAATCAAGTTGCTACATAGCCTCAATTTCGTATATGCATACATAAAACTATGCATATATGTATGTATGTATGTATTTGAGATGTGTTTGAGTGATGAGAGCAATTACAGTGGACCAGGTGATGAGTTGGAGTGGGACATGGGCTGGGGCCTGGAGCTTTCTTCGGGGACAAGGTCTATGGCATGATCAGATTAGGGGCCTTTATTGGACATGAGTTAGTTCTAACGAGTATGACAAGACGAACAAATTCTATGGTTGACTTGATAACTTGAGCATAACTAAGGAAATTGGCGACTCAGAACATTTCAGAGGCAAGCTTATTTTCTTTTGTGGTACATTTAAAATACTAAGGGTTGTGATAAAAGGATTAGTGATTACAAGTTTATAACATCTTCCATAAATGAATGCCTGCAACCATGCAGTAATGCTTCCTGCAGGATATTTGCAGCGTTAGGACCAGCAAGGACATTATGCAAGTTAATGAATCTTGGCTCTAGAATGAATAACATAGCTCCCCAAGCCATTGCTTGACAGATGAAATGGAACCGAAAAGAGCTTCAGATCAGCTTTTCTTAATTGGCATTAATGGAGAACAAAACCACAAATGCCTCTGCTTATTTCTCTATTACATTAATAATGTGACAGCTCAAGGCGTTTATGCAAAGGCTTACAGATAATTTTGAAAAAAAATTCGATATCAAGAATATGATGTTTTCATGTTAACTATAATTTGTGATTAAAAGGGGGGAAAAAAAAAAGAAAAGAGAGAGAGATAACAAAAAGGAGCTGAGGACTTCAAAGATACAAATTCTTCTCTTTTGTAGTTTTTGCAATCTAAATACATGATCTAGGCAAGAACATCCTCTTCATCATCGAAACTCAAATTCAATGTTTGTAACTTGAATCCTGCACCTTGTATGATCTCAACCAAATTGGAAGCCACTCCTGTAGCTTGAACTGTTGTCTGTTTTGTTAACTGAGAAGGAGAATAAAAGGGTCATTGCCGATGTTGCAAGTACTGAAATCTCTTGCTAAAGTTACACATAAATTGGAATGAGTCAAATGTGGATAACTCTGTGAATAAAACATGGGCTGGTACAGGAATATGCATGAAAACCCTGGATATTAGTAGTCAGTTTTTACCTAAGGGTCTCATAGAAAATCTAATGTTGCATGAAAAGTTTGATTAAGAATCAGGAAGAAAGGAAAAGCCCACATTCCATCACATATATCAGAATGTATCATTATTGTTTGTTTGACCATGAAATTAAGCTTTATGTCCACACAGATCAAAGAATTTGCTCATGGGAAATCTTGAATTTGAAGACATATCAAGCAACAACTAACTAACACTGATGAAGACGAATCAAGCAACAACTAATTAATACTAACCTCAACCATACCAATACCCTCAAGGATTTGAACCTTCAAGTTGGAAATGCCTTCAATTTCCTAAAAGGAGCAAATAAATCATCCAATTTCCATGATTTATACTCAAACAAAATTAAAGGACCTGCCATTAAGAATATCGAAGGAAATATAGTTGTACAAATAAACAGATAAAATTAGCTTTTCTTGTTTGTTTTTGGTTGACAACACTTATGGGAGGGAAGCAGGAGCAGGAAAGTAAAATGTGAAATCTAGCCCCACAGGAAGCCATTCTCTAAGGGATTGAGTGAAACACTAGCCCAAGCTCTGCACTCCAGATATAGAATTAGCTGAAACAAGACATTAGATTCTTCCCCTTCGTCATGGAAGTAGAGATCAGTATCAATTTGAAGATAAATCCATCAACCTGCCTATCACAAATGATCATATGGTCTGCAAAAGGTAAAACCTAAAGTTTCATGTTGCTATAATTTTCTTTATATCTAGACCAAATTAACATTTGAATTCAGAGCTAAGAGCAAGATATCCTATAGGCTCAGACTTATATTTGTGGCATGCCTAAACAGTTTAACCTCAAAATCAGCTAAACATAAAACATTCAACTCAGTTCCCTCCCATCTTTCATCTTCGGGTTAGAACGGACAATACTTCGTAGGTTGAATGCAAGTCTCCATACACTTACTACATCTCTTAGCAAAAAATTCAGTAAGCTAGCACAAAACAATGGAAAACTAAAGCAGTGAATGGTCTCATCAATTCCTTAGATAAGAAAGAAGGAAAGGAAGGGGTCTTTTGGCATCAACATGCCATACATAATTTATGCTAATAAGGGAAAAGAAGGAAGTGAGAAAATAAGCTTGGGGAAAACATGCCTCAGTATCCCAAATACACGAATAAAACAATAATCAGAAGGTTAAAAGTACCTCTAATGCTTTAGTCACTTTTGTAATTTCAGCTTCATTCAAGGTTCCATCTGCCTTCAAGCAATCAAGATTGATTATCAGTGACCTATTAATAAACAGGTCAACCATACAGATAAAAATTCAAGCCAAACTAGTCAAAAGGAACCAATTCTTGCTCAATTTCAAAAAATTCGAACTCTATGCACTAAGTACTAGAAAGATGTAAACGTAGGAGAGATTCTTCAAGTAACTAGCAAAAATTTTTTACTTCTCCAGAATTCAGTAGCAGATAGAAACTTATCCAGAAAGAAACATTTAAGCAGATATTGCTCAATTTCAAAACGCAGTCAATCTCCAAAGCAACCATATGAGAAATGTAACAACAATTCCTCATTCTTTATCAACTTCTACAAAGAAGGCTTTTATCTAATAACTATCAAAAGAATGAAACTTTACAAGAGTAACAAAATAAAACTCAAAACCCAAACTTATGTCACTCAATCAACAAAACTTTGTTACATCAAAAGAGGGTCTTTGATAGTTAACACATATAAAAGAAGCCGGCTCTGACTAACTAACAGAAACAGTATAAAAAACCCAGACCTGGAAATACATTCTGAGAGCGTCTGAAGGAGAGACAGGGACAGAAACTGACTCTTGTTCTTCAGACGAAGCTGTTTTATCTTCTTCTTGTTGTTCTTGTTTAGGAACAGCTGCTTCTTCTTCAGCAGACTTCAGTTTCCAAATCCCATACAGATTTTTGTCCTTCTTGAAGGATAAAGATAAGTTGTTGAAAGAAAAGCTGCAGACTTTGGTCTGAAAATGGATAGAGTTCAGATAAAAGGAGAGTCTTTCAGGAGTGTTGAAATGGGTTTTGGAGATTAAACATAGAGGAGTTGAAAATGCCGGTAGTGTTGCCATTTTTCTAGTTGGTCTTTCTTATTTGTGGTTTTGGGTTGAGAACTCAACTGAGCAGTGGAACAGTTTTTCTTTGTTGCGTTATCTGAAGCAGAATTCCGAAGAAGAGGGTGTTCTGATTACGTTTTTGTTGGGCCTTTTGTCTCTCCCAGTCTCCATGGGTAAGGGGTTTACTGTTGTGCGTGTTTGGACCAAACATTTGGTATGCAATGGATATGGGTCATTCATCCTGTCTATTCTTTCCTATTTTAATTGTGTGAGCTAGAAACTTGAAATGCTAAGCACAATTAGACTTGGCTTGGCTATGCCTACTTTTGGCAGCCAAGTCATTTTTTTTAAAAAAAAATTTTGGATGAAATTTATTAGATGATTATTTTTATATAATTAACAAAGTTTAGTGAATTTATTGATATAAATTAAAAAATTTTTTGAGCTAGGACATGGCTTCCAATCAATTACCTAAAAATGGGTGTAATGAGAGGATAACAAAAGGATACAAATGAAAAAGCAAATTTAGGGGAGAAATAAAGGAAATATAATGAAAATGCATTATGTTGGTTATATTATTAAAATTATAAAATGAAAATAAAAATCCATACATAAAAGATTCTTCTAATGCTCTTGGCATAAATATTTAAGAATTTAGTTCGCTCAATTATTTTTAAGAGATTTAAAGATAACAGATCTATTAATAGAAAAAACCTGTTATCTTAGTTAATATTTGAGTCCCCATTCCTGCCTAAATAAGTGCATGCATGTGTTTGAAATCAAGATTTTTTGAAGGCTCCAACAATTCACCCACCCATTGAGTTTTGAATCCCAGTCCCAGCTTTGCCTTTTAATTCTTTATCACAGCTTTTACTACTTCACCTTTTTTTTTTCATGTAAAAGTGAAGAAGTTCAACTTGACTTTATGGCTTGGCAAGTAGCAACAAGAAGTTTGATTTAGGAAGAAATTAGAAAAACCATTGGCAGTTGCAAACTAAAGGAAGTTGTTTTTCACATTAAACAAAAGACTTCAACCTTTTAAGATATGGCCTTATGGCACAACAAAAGTTTATACAAGAAAAAAAAAAGGCAATTCAACTTTATTATTATTATTTTTCTCCTGTTTTACCCCAGTACACCAATTGCACCGGTTGATTGCCCGTTTTGAATTCTTGATGATCATCCAATTTTCAGACAATGGTCAGGAGGTACCGAATACAACATTCCGAAGAGAAAATCCAATACCAAGTGTAGATGAAGAAGAATTGTTGCCTCCATTGTCACCAATCACCATTTAATTGCCACCATTACTGGAATCATCACCCAGCAAACTTTGCACAAAATTCTGGCCAACTTGTTGTGCTGCGCCTTCTACAAAGCTCCCAAGAACAACATTCATCAAAGTGTTTCTTGACATGGTTGTTCCATTGTTTTGGCTCTGAGGCTGCATGTAAGATTGATTATTCATTTGTACAGGCGCGTTTCTATACTGCAAATTGTTTTGAGCTGGTCCTGGAAATGAAGTCCATGGCTGAAACTGGATATTTGCTTGTCTAGGCGTGCTTGTAAAAGTTGCAATATTTGCACAAGTCAAATGGACATCAAATTCACATATACTACATCGATATAGCCAATGGTTTGACCCAACCTGATGGCAGACATCACAAGAGAAGCCTTTGGTTTGGTAAGGAGGGTAAAAGAAGAGTTGAAGCTGGCAAGGATGAGTTTGGTGGTGTAGAAAAAGTGGCTTGGAAGCACAGATGGTGTGGATGTCAAAATCACACTGATCGCAATGGTAGTTGAAGCCATGGCCGTGTTGACCACAGGCATCACAGCTGAAATAGCCGATGGGGTAGGCAGGGGTTGGGAGGAGGCTCAGAGAGTGGCCAGGATGGGCTGGATGGGTGATGAGTTGAGGCAGTTGACTGCAGGATGTATGTAGGGTGAAGTTACAGGGTTTGCAAGTGTACATCCATCCGGAGGATTGGAGCTTGCAGCCTGAACATGGAGTGATGTTAAGAGTCTGAGGGTTGGTTAGCTCTAGCAGATGGGGATGGCTAAAGTGCTGGATGTGTAGATCATTACCTAGCTTTCCCATCTCTCTACCATGGAAAAGGAAGAGTACACCAAATGAAAGTGTTCAATTGATATAGCTCAAAAAGAGACAAGGTGGTTGACTTCCAAGGGCATCTAAAATCAATGGAACGCGTTTTTCTTCGCGCTCTTTGGTTTCGTAAATCTTTAAACATTTCAAAGAAAGGTGGAGTGGAAAAAAACAAGCGGCTTGCCGAAACAAATAGTTCGATCAGCTGTTGGAAATTTTGCATTAAGTTTGTAGTTAGTGAGAGGAAATTTGCCATTTCACATTGACACGTCAAGAAAAGTACTAAAATCAGGGCTGAAAGGACGGAGCAATTGACGTATTGCAATGTCACAACAAGAATTTACATCATAGTTAATCACCATGTTACTCCCATAAAAGAAAATGATAAAGCTTAATCGTAAACTTGAAAACCATTTTCATTAGAATCCAATTTTCTATTACCTGACTAGTCTTTTTTTTTTTTTTTTATGCATATAGTACTATAAGAACCACATAAACTCCAAATTCTTGAAGCTCTTTTATATTGTTTAACAAGGATGCATGCACGTTCGTTTTGCTAGGTAGCAATGGCCATGGCAAAATTGCAGAAAACAAGAGTCATTTAAATTGAGTTTAATCCATCTTAATTATCAATAGATATTGGCAGCTAGGCATCTGAAGCATATATCTCAAAGAAGCTTGTATCTCTTTGATTCCATTTCTTGCTGCATTCCTTCAAGGTGAAACGACATGCTCCAAGTGATAAATGCACATCATTGTGTCTCCATTTCAAAGTTGTATGAAGAAAATTGAAATGAAAACTTCATATTGAATTATCGTTATTCATACACAGATTACTTATAGGAGTATACAATAAAATTCAACCTTTATCTCTTAGTCCTTGCCTAATAATTCAGCTAGCAGTGTTTTCTATCTGTGTTGACATCCAGCTCCAATCCAAGCCAAATTGTCATAGAGCTGGAAATCAGTCCAAACTCTGTATATGCACTATAAAACATATTTCTCTTATTAACTTATCTGCTCACCAATCAAATCCAAGCCAACTGCTAGAAAAGTCAAGCCTTGAAACAACAAGAAGTAGAAATGAACTCCATGGGCAGATAATAGACTTCTTGCAGCTGCAGTGAGTAGAAGGAAAGCTAGTGCTAATTCTTTCCTATATAGCCTGTTTCTCTTCTTTACAGAGGGAACTTCTTGTTGCTTGAGTTTATTCAACATTTCCAAACCAGACTCAGAATACCTCCTATGGATTTTCTCTTCATTTGAAGATTTTGTTTCCCTCTCGGCCAAGGCCAATAAATCAGATTCAGATGATCTTCCTGTCTTCTTGGTTACTACCCATTCATAAGCACTTCCAAGCTGAAATAGTCCTGATATCATGGCATTGAATTTTGTGACAGACATTGTGTTTTCAAAGAGCAGATAAGGAACCAGGAAAGGGAAAGATTTTGGGGCAGGAAGAATATTTAGAAAAGACATGAAAATGGGAACATAACAGATTACCCAAAGGGGTAGTTCAGCCTCAGGAATAAACATGGTCAATGGAAGTATAATGCAGAACAATGTGAAGGAGTAAAATGGAAGTATAAGTTTCCTCAAAAGGAAGAAAAGAAATATCAAGTTGGCCTTCTTCAACATTGATATCTGCACCATCACAAATAATTTAGTCAATTACATGTACTTTCAACAGATTCTAATGGATTGAAGATACTAGAAAGAATAACTAGCTGAACCTTGGATGTCATGATGGCAGGAAGACATAAACGAAATAACTGCATTGGACCCGAATGCCATCGGTGCTGCTGTTTCTTGTAGGCTTCATAAGACTCAGGTAACTCACATAGCACTTTTACGTCATTGAGGAAGATGAATTTCCATCCATTTAAGTGTGCTCGAACTGCAATGTCCATGTCCTCAACTGTTGTCCTCTCAAGCCAGCCTCCTGATGCCTCCAGTGCCTCGATTCTCCACACACCTGCAGTCCCATTGAATCCGAAGAAATTGAGGAAAACACCATTCACTTGCTGCTCCACTTCAAAATGGAAGCACAGATTGATGTTTTGGAGCCTTGTAAGCAAATTCTCATCCTTATTCACAAAGGACCAACGAGCCTGAACAAGACCAAGCTCAGGATCTCCCTGCAATAAACAAAAAGATTGTTTAAGTGACTACTGACATTAAATTGAATCTGTGAAGACCCTGTACTTAACCTGTAAGGTATTGTCTACTTTAACTGAAGATCTTATAGTTTTATCTCACAAAAAGTATCTCATAAGTATGCGTTAAAGTCTGTGCATATATACCACAGCAGAACCCAAGTGTTTCTATCTTTCCATTGGATTTTATATGATACCTTGAAGTGAGGAATAGTTTGTTTAAGGAAATCAGGGTTTGGTTGGAAGTCTGCATCAAACATAGCAACAAATTCGTAGTCCTTGACATAGTCACAGGCCATAGCTGATTTAAGATTGCCAGCTTTGTATCCAGTTCGGATTAACCGATGCCTGTAGATTACGTTTACTCCTTTCTCACGCCACGAGGAGACTTCATCTTTAATTAGAAGCTGCAAATTTCCATCATCTGAGTCGTCTAGAACTTGTATAAGAATCCGGTCTTTTGGCCAATCAAGCTGACAGGCAGCGGCAATTGATTGTGCAAATACCTGTTCCAAGAATTGCTTCAGAATAGATCCAGAAACAAATTGAATAAAATTTTAACAGTGAATGATGAAACTGACGGCTTTGATTTTTGTTCCAAAAAGCAAGAAAAGAATGTTCAAACATGTTAAACAAATAGTAAAAACAAAATTGGCAGCTTTAAAGTTACAAGTAACTAAAGTGACCAAAAGCTACTGCAGATTCAGAATCAAACAAACAATAACTTTTTAAATCTAGTGGATTTTAAGGAGTTTCAATTCAAAACCTTCTGCAACTTCTGTACTCGGATTAATGAAGAAATAAACCCAAGCAGATTGGCAACAGAAAAGAAAGAGATATAGAGGGAAAAATGAACCAATTTGAGCAAGTTAAGTGTTATTCTAACCTCTCTCTCATTGCACATAGGAATTTGAACAAGAACCATGGGGAAAGTTGAGCCATCCTCAATGTCATAAGCCTCTCCTTCGATTCTGGGCTTCAGCTTCTTGTATTTAATCCAGAAACACCCCAGACAAAGAATAAGCCGATCGAGAGATTGAATCAAGAATAGCACAGTGCAGAATTTTGACATGGTTAACACCAAAGGAGCAATATAATCAACTCTAAATGACAGCCAGGCCATGTAGGACCACTGCACAAGACCTTGAACCTCCCATGGCTGTATCAGGTTCAAATTCCATTTCTTCAAATGGGCCACAATTTCTATTACCAAAGCTACTATAGAGAAAACAAGAAAGGCTTTGATAAATCTATACAATCTTCTGCCTTTGGCCTCTTCTTCACTCACATCAGATAATGCAATGCGTTTCTTGACTGATAAAACCATGGTTTTAAAAGCCATAGCCATCCATGAAACACCAGCAACAACTCTATGAGCTTTCAGAAGGAGAAACCAAGTAAACTGTTTGGGACTAACTGCTTTTTGTTTCTCAAGAAGTAATGATGAATCTGAGCCATTGATCTCTACTAAAGAGAAGTTATTAGGCTTCTCAATTGTGACAACAACTGAACTTGGAGCCATTTCCTGAGCAAAAGCAGAAAAAAATCAATAGATTCAACACCACAGATCAAAAGTTTTGAAAAGAAGCAAAAACTTGAACTGGGTTTTCAGTTCTGAGATTTGGGAAGCAGCATAGATGTGAAAGGAAAGCAAAGAAAACAAAAATACGTCAGCTTTTATATGTTTTCAATACTTTTCTACTGAAAGCTGGGTTCCTGAAAACAGAGCGGAAACAGAATCCAGATATTCTGATGCAAGGATGCTTCAAGGTTTGACAGATGAGATTTTCAAGTCAAAACCATGATGCTAATGTATGTTTTGCTGGCAAACAGAGAGAGACAGAGAGATAGAGAGAGAAAAGGAAGTAACACTCATATGCTTTCAGTGAACTTACTAATAAAGGAGAAGAGAGTTCTTCCTGTTACTTTTTTCTGCGATTAGAATTTGAAGATCCAAAATCAAATTAAATATAAGTTTCTTAAACAAGTAATTAGTGATTAGATACAACCAAGCCTAGTCAACATGGAAAGATCTTTCAAAAAGCTTTACTGGACCAATCCACCTTTGACATCTGACCAATGTTCACAATAACCAAATTTGATGAATAGTATCCAAAATCTCACGATCTTTTCTTACAAGTTTAAATTTTTACATATATATGACTCCTTATACTATCGGATACGAAATTGGTGAAATTGCGACGATAGAATTAGTAAAGCTAAAACCAAATTATGATTCATGACAACTAGGTACAGCCGTACAAGCAAACTGCAGATCACAGGAAAAAAGTGTTCCAGGTTTATTCAAACTTGTCTGCTCGTTTAACCAATTAGTAAGAAGTTTCGTTTTCCTGTCTTGGCAATATGAATAGATTCTTTTTTGTTGACATATTTAATCAAGTTTACGCGGTATCAATGAGTTGTCCAGACAATGTATAAATAAATCCAAGCCTAGCTGTATCTTATCAAAGTTACCATAACTGCTCACTAAGCTTTCAATTCTACAATTACCAAAATAAGGTTAATTTCAAACTTCTATTGTTTCCCGCACCAAATATTAGATTGAATAATTTTGAATATGATATAGTGATACGATAAAACAAATATTTAAATAATAAATTAAAATTTTAATAAAAATTATATATAAATTTGAAAAAAATAAAAAAAATTATATTTTATATTTGGAATATAAATGTAAATTGTTATATAATAATTTTTATATTTTATACGTGTTAAACACAAAATTGCTAAAATTTATCAAATATTTCTCTCGATATTATTTGTTAACCAATTTTTTTTGTTTCTATCAGACAGGAAAGTCCTTAAATACTTACCATGTATTGAAATATTCAACTTCCGTAGCTAGATATGAACTGACAGACACCTGAAAATTAAGTTATTGACAGCCTAGTTCCTGCATTAAATGTGCAAAGTCAAATAAATCTCACCATTTTTGGTACATATAAATTTTGGTCAGAAATGCTATTATTATTATTATTTTGTCATTTGGAAATTCCCTGGCTGCTATGTTTCCCCGATTCTAAGCCGCAGGTTATGGCCTGTGGGAACCTTAACTGCTCAAAACCAAGCCAAGGCAGCATTGGATACAGACCCAAACGATAGTATTGCTTTTCTGCAATCTGTTTCCCCTTCCTTTTGTTTAGATTGTGCATTTCATTAGCGGAAACCACTAGCATTAACAGTGACCGAACAACAAAATCTATGTTTTTTGTTGCTCCATTGCATTTCTGTCCATAATAAATGTTGTCATGGCCTCAATCTCATATTGGGATATTGTGAAAAAATTCATAAATCTCAAAATCGAAACTTGATTTTCATTCCAATTATAGAGATTTACATCAAATTTAAAAAATATTATTCGATTTTATTTTAAGATTTTACAATTTTATCTTATTAAAAATATTTTACATAAATTTATATTTTTACATATATATTATAATAGATTCTTACGATATCCGAATATAAAATTGGGATGCTACAAATGCTACATTCAATGTTTTCACTAATTCAATCATCAATAACACCCAAAATCAAATTTAAAATGCACAAAGACATGGAGAAATCAAGGAAAATTTTTTCTTAGGTCAAGTTTATAAGTGGTTACGCTTCTCACTTCATCAAATTTATTCACACAAGTAGGATTTTCGACATTGAAAAATGAAATAAGAAAAAAATCGGTATTAAATGTGTGATGAAATCATTCAAACTTTTTGATGCAAAAAATTTGAGTGACAAATAATAATGAAGATGATACAACACTACAACAGTGGTCCATGAAATGCCATGTTCATGTTGGTCTACTTTGCTCATGTACATGAACACCATAATTGCTCATCGAAAACATGGATTGTGCATGACATAAATTTGTGCCATATATAATATCTCGTGACTACATTTACATCTATTTATTATCTAATAGTAACTGATGCAAATAATGTTGCAGGGTGTCCACAAACATTTTTAAATATAAAAAATAAAAAAAATTAGAAGAAAATTTAAATTATGGGTTTCTCCAAATGTAAATCTGACAATTTGTATATTCATGTCATATAAAATATTAAAAATTCGTTTATTCATATTAAATTTTATATAAAATTTACGTGTTCAAGTTCGTGTTAGTACGAAAATATAAAATATATATTTTTGGTTTTGTTAAATTTATTTATGATTTTAATTAAAATTTTAAAATCGTGTTATTTTAGTATTTTTTATTCATATCATTTTCATATTATATTACTGTGTTGTATTTGAAATTATCAAGCCAAATGTTTGAATCATATGCTAGAATGGTACCATTTTAGCTTATACGCATATTCTTTTATAAAATTTCAAGTTTTTATTATGGTTTCTTTAAGAGGAATATCCAAATCTATTAAAAGATTCCTATTCTCTTTAATATTACAAATTAATTAATAAAATATGAGAGAGAAAATTAGAATAAAATATTATGGCCGCATGATTGTAGGGAATCAAATGAAGCAACATTATTTTCTACTAATGTATAGATTATAATAGAGTTAATTACAATTTTAGTATATGAATTTTGATAAAATGAATAAATTGGTACCTAAAAAATAAAATATATAATTTTTATCATAAACTTTTAAATAATATAATATTTTAATTCTAAATTCTAACATTATTAATTTAATTCGTTTATATGATATCTAACCAAATTAATTTTATTATATGCATGTTATTTTTCACATAAAAATGTTAAACATTTTGTAAAAATCTTCATATAAATACTATAAGACAAAAAATATTTATCAATTCTAAAGAATTTTTAAGATTTAGGTAAAAATATATTTTTTTAATTTATATTAAACAAGATATTAATAATACGTATAGTGAATAAATAACTTGATAATATATATATAACGTTATATATATAAGTTGATATAATTAACATAATTAAAATTTAAATTAATATAATACATAATTTAGAAATTTAAAAACAAATTGTACGATATTTAAAAATTCAAAATAAAAATTATAATACGTACACCTTTTCGATTTAACCAAACATCTATGCTAGTATTTGAATAACAACAAATTGTGTATTTCATTGTTAACAAACAGTGAATATATATGAGATTGAAAACAAGACAAATTGAAATGGAAGCATATGTAGAAGCTCACATGGCTTGATTTTCTCCTCGTCCAAATTGAAACCTTGATTTAATTTTCTTTTTCTCTTTTTGTCACTTTCAAAAATAAAGTAAACAATACAAGTAGTGACAATAGTGGAGTGGGGTATGAAGAACTTAAAAGTTTAGGGTACTCCATGTGAAGCCTAACTAAGACAACCCTTTTGTGGGGACATTGTTCTATTAATTTTATCATCCCATATGTTAAAAGTTTGTTAGTTATTACAGTTAGTGTTTTACCACACGTGTAAAGAGTATTAAGAAAAAAAAATGAATTAATCATATTTATTAGTCATTTAGTACAATTTTGAATGTGTTAGGCAGATTGTTAGGCAGATTAGAAGAATACGTTTCGATAATAATAAATGAAACTCGTGAGGTAACAATAAAAATGAGAAAAAATTTCAAAATATGGATAAAATTTGTAATTTTCATTAAATACAAAGGAAAACAAATGAGGTTTGCAATTTTATGATCTTAGATGGTAGTGTGTCCTAGCAACCAAGCATTTGCAACTCAAAGCCTCATCCAGGAAAGCCCACAAGTAGCAGGTAAGATATTTGAGTCTCAAAAGAGTTGATCTCCTTGGCTATTTGGCTTTGGCATGGTCACATGTGAGAATGCCGTCTCCTGCTACAACTCCCATGTGATTAACTACCCTGGCCACGGCTGTACCAAGCAATTTAGTGTGATTTCAAGTTTTCCAAGTTATTTAATTGACTGATTTTTTTTATATTCACAAATATATTTTGTAACAATGAATCTAGAGAAATGAAATTTCCATCATTCCATGCCAGTAAGATCATTATATAAAATCTGAGTATATATAGATATGATTCATTAATCATGAAGCAAATGCAGTCAAGAACCAGACTCAAAGCAAGCTCTAAACTGCTAAGTTTTGATACTCAGCAGTCAGCAAAATCAAGATGTGATCTATTTTGTCTTTGCAAAATAACAATTGAAATCATGAGATAGGATCATTGTTTTTATGGGATTTTTGCCTTATTTCGGGTTCAATGTGTGCTTCCAGTGGACTTAAATGGAAAGCCAATTAATTAACCAAAATTGACATTAAAGAAGATCAAAGCTACATATGGTTAACAATGGGGGACCAACAAATTCCTAGTCTTTAATTACAAACAAACTGCATATGGCACCTACATGAACAAGAGAGCTATTTACATCTGCATCGCTGTATGCCGACAGAGAACATTTGCTATTTGTCCATGACAGTGATGAATTATGGCAGTGACAAAACCAGCATTAATATCAATGTGTCCTGACCTACAGACAACCCTCTTCATGGCTGCCCCAAAATCTACTTTCACTGCCAAGGCTTATAATCAATACTAAACTGTTCAGAATAAGGGTTAATAGGTTTATTGTGGTAAAAGAAATAGAAAATGGAAAAATGAAAAATGAAAAAAGATCATCAGGAGAAGACAAACAGCCTCAAAGGTCACAAAAAGGTTGCAGTTGGTAGATACAG